TGTCTCATAAAGCATGCCCCGCGTCCTTTAAAGCTGGGGGAATAGGGCGAAAGGAGAGCACGGATGGGGGGAGATAAGGGCGAGAGGGGGAGGGGAAGGCAGAGGAGAAGAAAATAAAGTGGAGAGAATTCTCCGTTGTGTGAAATCGATTCCTCCGATTCTCCTTGGACGAACACATAATTACGCGGATGCCAAAGTTCCGCGTCGAACATCTCCGTCGCCGATTGCCCGGTTATCACCGCACAGAAAAAAAAAATAAGTGTCAAATCAAAACTTATATACTTAAATTAACGCGTTCGTTGTTTCGTATATACGCAACAATTTGTAATCTTCTTAGAAGAATTTAATAATTTTAAATTTCCACAATATTACAGTCTTACTTTAATATTGTAATTTTCATCTCAAGAATATATGATTATTTAATATCTTATTTATTTTCTATCCAACATTGTTTCTTTTCTATTCGAGAAAATTAAATCTTAAATCATAAGAATATATTTTTCTCGATTGAACTACATAAAATGGCTCCCTTCAAGTAAGCAATTATTCAAGCAATTATATTTTTCTTTAATTAACGCAATATAATTTCATTTCAAGATTTCCATGTTAAAACTAAATAATATTTTCAAAACAATAATATCCTTTCTTCCTGTGCGGGGGTCCTCGTAAACGTAGAGCCAGCTCTGCGCCAGGTTGCACCTAATGTAAGCGTCCCACCGGTGGCGAGAGCGATGCCCATCGACCACGCGGTAAGAATATGAACCGTGACGTCTCACGTGTATATGTATTGCGTGCACGTGGACGAGCACGTCGATCGCGCTTTAATAGAAAATTTCTCGACAGATTCTCGTCGTAATAACCGTCTTATTTGCGATTCCAGCACGCGACTCTTCTCGCGAAGTCGAAAGCTTATAAATATAAATAAAAAAATATAAATAATAAATATAAATATAAAATAAAATATAAATAATAAATATAAATACAGTACTAGACAAAATAAATCATACACCTTTCAACAAATTGAATTTGTTAGTATAACTATTCTTTTAACAAGCAAATAGATTATTAGATACAGGAAAGTCGAAGCATTTCAAAGTATTTAAATAAAGAAAATAGGAAATAATAAAAATTATGCTTAATTATTTTGTAAAAAATTTATAATTCAATATTGTTACATTTTGCCCTGGACAAAATAAATCATACACTTTTAGAAGTAATAGTTAACAAATAAATAAAGTTAATTCTAGTGGTGATTAGTACTTGGTATGGTTACCTTTGGCTTTCAATACCGCTTCCAGTCGGCGAGGCATACTTTCGACTAATTTCTTTCAGAATCAATTTCCTTCCGAGCCTTCTGAAGTGTTGCATAGGACGATATCTTGTCTCTTACGTTCGTTTTATTCACGTTCACGTCCAAATAAACCCACAAAGTTTCAATTGGATTAAATCTGATGATTGTGGCGGCCATTCGATCAGTTTTACCTTATTAGATTTGAAAAATGCAGTGGTTTTCTTCGTCTTATGCTTAGGATCATTATCTTGCTGGAAGATAAAGTTGTTTTCTAAATCCAATTTCAAAAGAGATTCTTTCAAATTCTCGTACAATACATCAATATATCCTTCTGCCGTCATGATGCTTTCAATTCGAGTCAAATTACCGATCCCAGACCATGTAAAGCATTCCCATACGATAATATTACCGCCTTCATATTTTACAGTCTTCTGAATAAAACCGATTCGAGTTTGCCAAGAAGTACGCGAATATGTCTCTAGACTTTTGGAAAAAAGTATTGTGGTCTGATGAGAGCAAGTTTGAATTATTTGGACAAAAACGGCGGTCTAAAGTGTGACGAAAATCTGGTGAGACTTTTAAAGAAGTAAATATTCAGAAGACTGCAAAATATGGAAGCGATAATATTATGGTATGGGGATGCTTTACATGGTCTAGTATCGATAATTTGGCTCGAATTGAAAGGCATCATGAGGGCAGAAGGATATATTGATGTATTGTGCGAGAATTTGAAAGAATCTCTTTTGAAATTAGGTTTAGAAAACAACTTTATCTTTCAGCAAGATAAGACCCTAAGCGAAGAATAAGGCGAAGAAAACCACTGCATTTTTCAAATCTAATAAGGTAAAACTGGTCGAATGGCCGCCACAACCACCAGATTTAATCCAATTGAATCTATGTGGACTCATTTGGACGTGAACGTGAATAAAACGAAGTGACAAGACATCATCCTATGCAACACTCCAGAAGGCTCGGAAGGAAATTGATTCTGAATACTTAAAGAAATTAGTCAAAAGTATGCCTCGCCGACTGGAAGCGGTATTAAAAGCCAAAGGTGGCCATACCAAGTACTAATCACCATTAGAATTAACTTTATTTATTTGTTAACTATTACTTCTAAAAGTGTATGATTTATTTTGTCCAGAGCAAAATGTAACAATATTGAATTATAAATTTTTTATAAAAGAATTGAGCATAATTTTTATTATTTCCTATTTTCTTTATTTAAATACTTTGAAATGCTTCGACTTTCCTGTATCTAATAAACTATTTGCTTGTTAAAAGAATAGTTATATTAACAAGTTAAATTTGTTGAAAGGTGTATGATTTATTTTGTCCAGTACTGTATAAAATAAAATATAAATAAAATATAATATAAATTTATTATATAAATTTCATTCGCACCTTGGCGTGCATTGTTACCGAGCACTCATCTGTATATGTATCTCGAAATCGCGACTAAATATTCCTGTATATCGAATCTTGATTTCTCCGATATGTTGCGTTGTTTTTATACAAAATTGCGGGGGATCGAAAGCACGCTTTTAAAAAAATAAGCTTTTATGAATGCTTGAAATTAAAACATTAATGAAAATAGCGGGATTTGTCCCATTATTTTCCCATGGTTTGAAATATATATCGTGCGCTGCATTCAAAATTTGTTCTAAATTTGAAATTGTAATCAATAACGAAAGAATTTTATATTAGTATTGAAAAAATCAGCAATTTTCAATTGATACAGTTTGTTTATAAATGCATTTTGTAAAAAAACATATTTCCACAGTAAATACGCGTTTATATTATACGATAAATTTCATCAAAGAATTATCGTATAAAAATAATAAAAGCAGACTGCTGAATTAATCGGCTTATCCTTATCAAAGAATATTTAACAAAAATGTGGCATAAATATTTTTTAGGGATTTTTTAAAATTTATTTATTTTTTAGACTCATGCTTATCGCGTGCCTTTGTTGGCGGATTTGCTTTTGACAGATGTATTTGTATCGCAATCGAGAGAAGTATTTGTTAAACGTATATCATAATCACTTCCTCTCGCATGAATTTATGTGAAACTCGCCTATCTGAGATGTAAATTTCTCTGTAATGTAAATTTATCAAATATCATAGTCACGTATCACAATGGAAGGCTCAAGGATGCGCGACACCTGCAAAAAATGGGAAAAGTACCGCGGTCGTCGTGTTTACAGTGCAATCGGAAGGCACGTGCAGCCGGTGGTGGTATCAAGAGATACGCGAATAAAAGGAGACTGTGTGTAATACTCGTACCTCGGGAATTCGAGCGACTGCTCGAATAATCGCCCCCTCGCCCCCTCGCTCTCAAGTAACTGGAAACTCATCGACGGAAGTACGTCGGAAGTGCGACGTGACATACGTTGTTGCCTTTACCAGTATCGTAATTGCCTTTGTGCGATCTGATTAATCTCCTTTCGCGACTAATGATTCGCACGACGACCGATCAAGTCGAACGATGACGACAAAAACGGCGATCGAACTCGAATTTTCTCGCTACGATAAATCGCACTGACATCCTTTAACCGACTCTTAATAATGATTAACTAGCTCCCCGTTTTCTCTCATGTTATCGGAGTTCCAATTAAAATATACACAGTGTCTCAAGAAGAAGTTTAAATGAAATGTTTCAGTGGCGCCTTCTTTTTTAATCTAAAAATCCGCAGTTGATTTTTTCTCGAGGATAATTTCGGGATATTTCGTTCACGATTTATTGCTCATTAATATTAAACAAGTAACGACAATCTTGATAATATTTTTTTTTCATTAGATTCTTTTAAATAGCCACGTTAAGTTTTTATTTATTCATAATTTGAGAGCTATTCGCGTCGTGGCTTTTAATCGAAGAAAAATGATACGAGGATGCGGTCGCGGACTGTGCCATTAAAATAACAGTTGTGTGGAACACCCTGTAGATAAAGTTACAAAATTTAATTAATCGAGGTTAGCGCCGATCGGGATCGCCATAACCGGTCCTAACCGCCCATCATATTATCCTGCGAGATAACCGCTGTCGTTAGCACAGCCAGATAAATATTGTCGCTGAATATTGTCAGGTAACTCGGGCGTAACCGCATTTTCGCACTCCATTTTTATTTAATCTATCTATACGCGGTTACATGTATTGCTTTTCCTACGCTCGTGTATTAATTACAGGTAAATGGTTTTTCGCACTGTCGCTCGTTCGACAGTTCGATAAATAAGATAAGGCTTAGATTAATTAGTCGATCAGTCGCAGGATATTAATGTGTACGCGTATCGCGAAATATACGTATGCGTAATCATACATCGACATTCGCAAAGCAAACGTTAGACTAAGCAGGGAGATTGAAATAGTTTTGATGATGAAGCGATATTAATGGAGGCGAGAAAAATATATATTACCATTCTATAAAGATTACATCCAGATTGTGTATTGAATCGAGTTATTATGAAGAGTTATAGGGATTATTTCCTTGCGATAAAAATCAAGCAAATTGAATCCTAATTGAATTTATACCCAGCATATCTGATTGAATTATAATTAATCGAATCATTATTAGAGATTATTTATCAGTTTTATACATATATGTAGATCGAACAAATTTTACAAAATACTTAAATCTTACAAAATGAGATATATGTATATATGTGTATATATTTAATTTTACATTAAAATTGAAATTTTGCATTAAAAATTACGGGTCGCATTCTCTATTACATTCGCAAGAGTCATAATCGGATCGTGAGCTTGAATCGTTGCTATTATGAGCCTCGACATCAGTCGCTCGAAATAGTTCCTGTCGAAGACTGTCTATTATATCCGGTCGTTTATCGACAGACGACAAGTAATCCAAAAGGTCAGCGACAATTTCACGACGCGGTCTGTTGAAAAATGTACCTACGACCTCGGGAATATCGATGAGCGGCTGCTTCGATAGGACGTGTCTGCGAGAACGATTTTAATGACATATCATTAATCTCGAATATTCCCCGACGCATATTAAGTATTATAATTGGCACTCCAGACGATTTTTATCAAGTTATCGTTAGAAAGCGGATACAAATTAAATTTCAATCTGTCAATTACAAATAATTTTATCGTAATCATATATAAAAACTAATTAAATATATAAATATACGGAGAAATATACGAATTTTTTCCAGTCAATTTTAAATACCAGAGGCATGTGGGAGCTGACCTTAACAAAATGGTGATTAAACCTTTGACTTCCGGATGTAAGTTAAAGTAAATTTCGTTTTCTCTTCGAGTAGACATTTTCATTTCGTTCAAAGATTGCTTCTGATCTCTCGTTAAAGCGCCTATATCATAATTTTGCATGCCGTGCGGCGGATCCGCGGGATGGAAAGCATTTTTGGCTTTAAAGAACCGGTTGGACATGATGATTGTCGCTTAAATGAGAGAATTGAACTGTAACGTTTCTTACATAATTTTACAGATATTAATTTTATAAACTATTATTGCGTATGTGTGTTTTTATTATATTTATTCATGTGAAATCGCAGATGCGTCACAGAAATTCGTCGAATATAAAAGTAAATTGAACGTTGAAAAATTTTGACGTGAACGAATTAGCTTTTGTTTTACAAAATAAAATACACGCGCGAATCTGCACACATGTGATGTAACCGTAAGGTATAAATATGCAATCTATGACAGCGATACCCAGGCTATGACTCATGTCACGTATATATCTGCAAAGATTTGTAAACTATAAGCTTTTCTAGTTAACGATTTTATGTGGAAAACCCAAGAAAATTATTGAACATTTCCATTAAAATATTACAATCTAGACAATACAGAAATTAATATAAAATATCAAATTTTTTCTATCTCAATAAGTAGTCTGCTAATACATATATCCTCTTGCAAGGTATCCAAAATAAATAATGTATTAAAAAATAGTGACATAAAAATTGAAATATAGCTTTTTATGATCAGAAATATATAAGCATAAAAAAATCGTTAATTTAGATATATACTTTAATTTTTACAAATTGTTTACATTTCGTTTCAGTTGTTCCAATGTTTGTCATAGATGTTTGATTTTGATAGATTTCCCGAGTGGAAAAAATGTTGAATATTTTTTTACAATTTGCAGTAAATTTATTTCCAAATCGTGTTTTTGCATTCTAAATAAAACAGCAACACTGACTAAATTGTTTTTTTTCTTTTTTTTTCAGAGAAATTTCTCATTTATTCTATTTTTACAATAAAGTATTACAAGTTAGAGCGTACAAATGACATTTACATATATTAATCTACCTTTAATTATCAAGTCTAACACGTACTAAAAGCTAATTATCATATAATCTTTTTATCTCTCCTAAACATCGACACACAAGCGATATGTATCTCATATTCTCCATCGCATTCTCAGAAATACCTGTTTGCGGCATTGCGATTGCCTTAAGGGAATTATGATACTCTTTTATTTCGTTTTTTGCCGCGCACAAGGACGCCGAATCAATAGTCTTCAATAAGTCGTTGCCCGTAGGCCGATCACTTATCGATTCCGCACGATCATTATTGCGCTGTCGGAAGGTTCGCGATTCGAGGTAATTTCCGTCAAGTACTATTTACACTTATTAATTGACTTGTTTATTCTTCCATTGACTAGATGCCGGGATTTCTATAATATCGATATTTACATGCCGTTGCGAGCCTCCATTTAATACTGGACATAAAGTTGACGTACACGACAGAAGCAGAATAAATCTCTCGAACATATTTTGATTATGATTGATGTAGTTTAATCCATCGGCACGTATAGAGGAGCATCACTTTCTTCCCTCGAGAGGAAGGGACATCGCGTTCTTATTGCATTTTTTTTTTACAGGCGCAAAAGATTACCCGCATAAAGCGCGCGCATCTGATATATCGCCCGCGTAGCACAACTAACGGATTAATATTCTACATGTCATAAAAAAAGATACGACCGCGCGAGACAGAAGCGGGGGGCGGGGGGCGGCGCGTCGCGAATACGGTAATTAAAATGCTCCGGCAGGAAGCGACGTCGCGCCGCGACTCCTTTATTATCCGCCGCGCGCTTCGCGTCTCGGCGCCGCGACTTTTTCCGCGGCGCGACTCATCGCTCAGCCCGCGCTCATCGGATATTGCGACGGCCGTTGATTCCTCGCCTTTTTTTCCTTTCTTTCCTTTGTTTTTCTTCCTCGATGCGGGGGGTTTCCTACGATTTGCGCAAGAAAATAATGCAAATGCTGCGATGAGCAAGAGAAGCCTTGCCGCCGCCGCAAAATTGCGCAAGAACGATGACGACAGACGGTTTGTCCCGTGATTTTCTACCAATTGCGACCGACCAATGCCGATTTACGCGGCTTACGTGTTGTTTAATTTTTTTCAAAACACGAATTTTAATCGCGCAAGGTAAATAGAGTTCTACACTGAGAAAAAAATCTGGTTGCATTAATTAGAATTCTGGTAGATTCAACCAGTATGTCTGTTGGAAAATGGACGAAACAGAATTCGTGTAGGAATTTGCAGATGAATCTGATTAATTTCTTCCTGTTGAATTTGTCAAATTTTCTGATTAATAATACTAAACTTGCTAGCACCAAATCGTCTAAAATTTTTTCCATCTAATCTTAAAAGTCTGTTTAATATTTTAAATTTCAACAAGATTATTGGATAAATTCAATCCAGATTATTGAATAAATTATTTTAAATTTAGTTTGTTAGAAATTAAACTGATAAACAGTGATGCAAGAAGAGGATGCAACTCAAACACACACAATTAGAGAGCTAGCGTCCTCTTTCTTGCACTACTGCTCGTAAGAGAAAAAAAATATATTTTGGATTTAATGTTAATATTAATTCTTTATATACATTTCATGGCAAATATTGAATACGAGTTAAATTAAGAAGCAAGCAAAGAAATTAATGTAACAAGAAATTTTATAGATCCAACCAGAAGATACTAATCAAATTCTTATAGTAAAATCTATTAAACGTTCTAGTTATAAAAAATCGAATCTTATCATGAGAACTACACTGAGGGAAAAATGATTTTAAATCAAGTAAATTTATTTTTTTGAAACTTTTGATTTGAATGAAAGGAATCATTTATTTCATTTAAGCAAAGGCATTTAATTTTAATTAAATATGTATATTATATCGAGTACATTATTTTTTATATTTTTACATTTTTTAAATACGATTTTTACAAAATACATACTATAATTTATTAAATTAAATATATTGTTTTTTAAAACTAAAAAATTCAAAATTTTTCCAAGTAAAAAATGCATTTTAATAAGTATTTTGTAAAATTAAAATAAAAAAATAGTTAATTAAGAATTATATTTTCTTAAGTATATAAATTTTTTAATATATCTAAATAAATATTTAATAGACGTTTCGAATACAAGTAAATATGTGATTAGCACCCACCGAATAAATAGCTGTTTCGAATTAAATAAAATTTTTTTATTTCAAGATAGTTTTTCTCTCAGTGTAGAAATTCTTGTTTGATTTAATCAAAATGCCTTCAATCATATACATCTTGTTGATACAATCAAACGATTTTTCTCAGTGTACCAATCGCGATCGACCAATGCCGGTTTACATGGCTTACGTATTGTATTTAATTTTTTTCAAAACACGAATTTTAATCGCGCAAGGTAAATAGTTCTCTTTACGAATTTGTCGCGGCTTCTCGTTTTTCCTTGATGGATCGCAACTTGTTCGCGATCTTCCGTCGTACTTTCTTGTGGGTGGCGAGCATCAGGAGCCACAGTATCGGCCATATCATCCGGCATATCTTGAGTATCACGAGCTTGTTCAGGCAGGCGAGGAGCAGGCCGAAGAACCAGGGCGCGCCCATCAGCAGGTACAGCTGCAGGAAGAGGAAGTACTTCTTTTTGAGGGCGTTGGTGTTATTCCTCGTCGCTATCTCTGTGCTCTGTTGTATCCGTATGATCTTGTACGTGGTGAACACGAACAGCACGTTATTCCAGAAGAGCGTCAACAACGGTATGCCGAAGAAGTAGAGGTTTACTATAAAGTTTGGTCCGTCACGGTACTGGCGATAATTCGGCTTCAATGGAAAATCGTCCGGGATTCCGGGATAAAATTCCAGGATGAAGGCAAAGATGGCAGGGATGAGTGCGCCTCCCCAGGCAAGAACGCCGTACATAAGAAGTCGCCTATTTTCTTCCTGGCTGGTCTGCTGACCGGATCCCACCATCCAGCGAAATCGCGTAATTGACAGAGTCATGTCGAAGCAGATGACGTTGAGCCAAAACACGGTGGCGTTTGTGAAATACTGCAACATTATCCATAGAAATGTAGCGAAGTCATCGCTCATCGGACACTCGCATAATTCGCAGAAGCCGAGGAACATCAGAATGCATCCCTGCAGTAACAGACAGACATTGTGACGCAGCACCGCGCGATTATAAATACTCTTGCCCAGTTTCGGAACGGACAGGTATACCACGACGACGATGGTGCAGAGGATTACATGGGCCACGTTGGTATCCATATAAGTCTGCGCGCCCCAAAAAAAGACCATTCTCAGGTCGTTACTATGACGAACGATCTCCTCTCTGTCGTCCCTCGTTACATTCGAAGCCATGTCGATGGTAGTGATGGTGGTGATGGTTGTTACGGTGATGATCATCGTAGTTTTCGTCATCATTATCATTTCAGTTTTCCAGTTTTCCTTCTTTAAAGTCATTTCCGCACACTTGACGAGCACTGTCGTACCGTTGATCATGTGCTCGATGCAATAATCCTTCGATGTGAGAAACGTCGCGTAGCCGCGCAGGAGATGACGGCTCGTGTCGGCGTCCTTGTCATGACAGCTCAAGCCAGGCACCGACGCCAGCACCGTAGTGATCTGTTGGAGATGTTCGGACGACATTGTTTGCCAGGAGTCGTGCGTGGAGTAGTTGAACTTATTCGGTTCCACGTGGACGCATTCGAGATTTTCATCGAATGCGTAATCGGCAATGCAGCACTTTGTCGGCGTGTTTGTTTCGTGTACAATCGTTGCTGTTATCGTCATCGTCGTCGTCGGGTAGGTCGCGGTGATCGAAATATGACATAATAGGAGAATCGCGACGGACGATCTCGGCGCGTGCATCCTGGCCCGACAGATTTCTTCGCACTGACCGATCGCGGACGTGTCTTTCCCGATGTTTGACAAGTCGGAAACAACCGGACCGACTGTGTCTAGCCGGCGTCTTGCCGTTGCAATATCACTGTCGCATTTTTCTTCCGTTTCTTTTGGATGACGCAGCCATGCCACGGTATGTGTTTATCGCGGAAGACGCACGCAAGTAGTAGTGGAGACAAGCTCAAACCACGACATCACTGATTATCACTGTTGGTCGCAGATATTGCATGCGGTCAGTTTTCGCAATAGCAATATTTTGCTATTATATTCGGGGATTTTATGAAATTGATGAAAATTTCCATAAAGAGTCTATGAAAGCATATAATTATAGTAATAATCGTATAATTAATGTAGGAATAATCGTATAATATTGTAAGAATAAATAGGCAATATATTATCTTAAAGGAGGCATTTTTTTAATAGTGAAATACAAAGAAAGACACATATTAGTAATAAATATACGATGATATATTCTATTTTTTAAATATATTTTAAATTATATTTTAAATATATATTTAATTAAAAGAACAATTATATGACATGTATCAATATTTTGTCGTCATTTATATTTATTATTAACCTCACTACTTTTAATTGACGATTGATTTGAGAAATAACTGGATATAATTTAAAGGCTTATCTAAATATATCCTTTGATTTTTAAAATAGATGTAATCATAATGTTAGACAAGCATAAATTCATACTTATAATTAGACACTTTATGGCTTTCTTTTTTTTTTTCAAACTATTGAGATACGAAATACTAAATATTTGCGACGTAGTGCTGCGAGAAGACAACACTAAATTTACTTTACGATCAATTAATCGTGAGCTATCAAAGAATTTTAGCATATTTATGTAAAGCAAACGAGCGGCTACTTTGAACGCGCGGTCATGCAGACAACGTGCCAATTATGCAAAGTTTTCTTCTGGTGTCATACATTTCCCGGTATTCGAGGCGGACCGACGTGTTAGGAGAAACGACTTTAACGTCACAAGTAATGTAATTGTTACACGTAGTAAATTCCCATTTCATTTTCTGCAACGGAGGTATCGGGACGACGATCTCGAGCTGCTGCGGAATAGTGTAGAACGTGGACGCGTGAAGGTCAACGTTAGTGGAAGAAAACGGGGGGAGAAGAGAGAGAGGAGATCCGGAGGAGAGAAAGAAAGGGTGATATATGTACGGCAGGAGTAGTGTGTCAGCAGATGTAACTTTTCTTATTGTTTTCTTATCGTTATACATCGAAGAGATTGTCGGTTGTAAATTATAATCTTTTTTGAAAAGATGATTGTAAGAAAAAAAATGATTGTCGTGAAAATGAATTTTAGAAAATTAAACGCGAAATTTTGACAGTAAACAAAAAGTTGGGCATTTGTGTGCACGTGATTACATTGTTGAAATTATTTAAAAACATTTAATAAATAACAGCTCTCAATTAAAGAATACAAATATAAGAATAAAAATTATTGAGAGAAAAAGAGAGAGTCAGAGAGAGGGAGAGAAAGAGAAAGAGAGAGAGACAGATTATAAAATATACTATTATTAAACTATCTATTGAACTATGTTATTTTTTTTATTTTTTTTTGTCTGTACGAGTATATTCAATGTTTATATACGCAGTCCTCAATTAAAAAACTAGCCAATAATCGATATCATTCAATTTGTCGGCTATTTTATATTGTTTTTGTTTAAAAAATATTTTTTTTCAAAATAGATACTGCATCCATCTGTTTTTACTATTTTATTTTTGATATTTACATTACAATTTTAATCTTACCGGTACACAATCGATACTTAAATTGAAGTCAAAGTAGCATTACATAGCACTAGATGACGTTACACTCGCAATTTACAGTCGATAAATTTAAATTAATAATCACGGATTATATATCTTGATTTCTTAAAATTAATTGTAAAATTAATTGTAGGTTTCATCATTATAAATATGGACACAGAAAGTAGATAGAATGATAATTATATATTTATCGCATACTTAAAATACAGACTAATGTGAAACATAGCTATATAAAAAACGATTTGAAACAATTAATCTTAAACGAATTAAAGATTAAAATGAAGATTAGATTTACAACTAAATTTGATATTAGAAGAATGAGAAATTTCAGATTTTGTTGCCTTTTTGGCGAGAAATAAATCTCAAAAAGCTCGAGAATACGTTAATTTTTTCTTTTTACGTAGATTGTATTTCATTATTCGAATATTAGGAGATGCAGAGTATTTTAGATTTTTATTATATTTTTATTATATTTTTATTATATTATTTTAGATTTTCCGCAGATGTAGGAGGAATTATAACTAGAAATACTTTATTGATACTGTCACGATGGATACATGATAACGGTCAAGATAGCTTGGAGCATAAGAGCTAGTAGAAGGTCGATTTCTTTGATCGTTAGGTCGTTAGCAGTACCGGTACCGTTGTTGCACAAATTGGTCTCACAACAGGCAGTACAGGCATAGAGCTTAGTGCGTTCCCCGATCACGATGCATCCTGGCTCGCACTTGTTGACGCAATTCCTTTCCATGGACCACGTTTGTGGATTGGAAGTCGAGTTCTCAGTGCTCAATGTATAGGAAAATCGTTTCACCTGCAAATTCGTTCAAAATTTCGTATCGAATGTATCTCAAAATTCATTTTTTATGCAAGATTAATTCAAATGTCGCCATAATTGGCGTCACATTTGCATCTACGTGAGATCTTTTCCTGAATAAGTACTCGATTCGATGACACATGATCCTTTTTTTTAACCTCTGTGGTTTAAAATTTACAGGCAATAATATAATACATTATTATAAATTTATCAATTATATACATAAACGTACACAAATATTTATAATGTAAATATTATTCATGTTTATATAGAAAATTGTTTATTTTATTATTATATATATATATATATATATATATATATATATATGTATATATATATATATATATATATATATATATATATCAATATATATCAATTCAGATTGAAAGATTTTATATTAAAATTTCTCAAAGCGATGTTTTGATACAGAAAATTCAATTGTGGTTTTATGTAAGATTTCAAATCACAAAGGAAATCCAATAACAAACATCCTATGTATTTTGTAAACTTGCGCATAATTAATTCTTTTTTAAAAAAACGAATATTGCAAAAAATGGCACGCGTATCAATTTTTTGACGCATATATATGTGTATTAAAAAATAATGATTCGGAAATAATTAATAAGATTTCAAGGATATTTTAAGTGAATATTTAGAAAATTAAAACGTTTCACAAGTAAATGCAAAGTAACATAATACGAGTATATAATGCAATAATTTCCTAATTTCCTCTTTTTATACGTTTATTTTTTATTGTGTTAATAAAAACAATGTGACAAATATATTTTAAATCCTATTTTGATCCTGTTTAAAATGTATATAATCTGATATTTTTCGATGAAAGTCATAACTGCCACAACTGATAAATAAATAATCGTGATTCGAGGTATCTCATGTATGTAATAATTTAGCTACATGATAGGTGCGTGCTTATAAACGTGATGTGTATAAACAAATAGATATTAATTCGCCTAGGTAAACAAGTAACATGATATAAATTGTTTTGACAGATTCATATTAAATGCGCGCGTGTGAATTTGCCACGCCATCCGTTCATTACAATCTGGTTTACATATATTCGTAGCACTTCGGTTACCGTGTCACATTTCTACGCAATATTGCATTTCGTGCAATATACAGTTTACATATGTTAATATGTTAACGTATAACGATCAATTTTAATATAAACATGACGCGAGGATGATACTGTCACATAAATACCGTTGTTCCATAAAAATTAAAATGAAACGTATTAAGCAGTCTTACCATGCACATTCTTTTGTCATCCGTACATTTATGCCTGAAGGTACTGGAATTACCGATATTGTTAGTTAGATTGGTACACTCCTCACCGTCATCCATTGTAAAGCACTGATAGCACCATAAGTCATTAGCTTTTTCGGAAGCCGCCTGAGTTCGATGCTCTTTCATCGATAGCTGACCTGCTTTCATCATAAATACACCACATATTATATAGAGAAAAGCATATAATTTCGAATTATGTATTTATATTATGTGAAAAATTTGTCGAAAATTTAAGTGAAGCGTGCTATATTTGTCTCCGCAGATGCTGTCAAATTTAATGCTTGAAATATTCTTGTAGTTTAAAAATAACATGTTGAAATATAAATTTGAATTATAATAGAAAAGATATCAAATTATATTAAGATATCATATTAAGATATCATATTATATATTACAAATGTATGATTTATTATATTTATTATTATTTTCTATTTCAGATGCTTGCTGTCAATTTTCGCTTCATGCTGTAAAACTTATATGTTCGTGGCATGGGTCAATTATGCGAATCCGTTTTAATTATCTGAAATTCTCTCTCATTTATATATATATATAATTGTTTGCAAGTAAAATTATAAGTTAATCTTACAATCTCGAAGAAAAATACTTGATTCTAAATAATACATCAAAACAATGCAATATTTGCATCCGTTAGATTGACTTTGAAAATTCTCGTTTATCTATAATTGTGATCGGACATAATGTTATACAATATAATATACATTTTTCAATTACTAAAATTAAAAAAAAAGAAACATTTCAAGCAACATGCTAAAATTAGATAAAAAATAATCTTAAAATTGTGTTTTGTCTGCTACAAGTTACAATATTTTTAGAATCGCTAAATTTTTGTCAATTTTACTAAATTTTTCTGTCAATTTTTATTAAATTGATTCAAGTAAAATAAATTTTATTATGTAAATTATACATTTCTAAAAACAACCACGACTCTCAACGGCATATGATCGTGCATCGTGATTAACGTCCGACCGATGTATTTTAGATAATTTACACTTACCACCCGCGAGGGTTATCATCGCGATAAGCAGAAAGCACGTGACGGGGAAACGTACGTCCATCTCGTCTTCGATTTGGATTCCCGCTTACGTCGCGAAACTAATCGCAATGACAATCCGACATGCGTGCATCACATTTTCGCAGAGCTATTCTCGGAAATTCGCACGTCAACTTTACGCTAAGAATCGCGGTGGATCCTGGCGCTGGTCCAGAGAGACGGCGCTTGATTCCGACGCCATGCTGCATCGGCATGAGCGCCTGCGTCAAGGCTGACTTGCTCCAGAAACCTCGAAAGTCGAAAATCAATATCCTCCAACGAAGGGATTTGTCCCCGCGATCACGACCATTCGACGTCACAGTCGTTACGTGAGCGACGCCGTCGATCGTTGTCGGGAAAAATCTTGAACGACACCTGAGAGACGAACGCACCTTAAACAGTGTATCCTCCCCCTTGTCATCCATTATCGTCTACGCGCGACGCTCGATTAATTTTAGAAGCAAAAGCTTCATAGTCAGAACATATCATTGTTAACGATCGTAAGGATTACCGTTGTCAATGATGATTACGCGGAGGATAACGAGTTTCATTAATTCAAAATTGACGATCAAAAGAGACCTTTGACAACTTGAAACTTACGACACAGTTTTTAGGATCCGATTATAGTTTAAAAGTTTTTAATATATTCTTACTAAGCTTTCTGCTATTAATTTTTTATAATGAAAAAATTCACTTTTTCGTAATAAAAATAAATAAATAAAAAGAGAATTATAACACTTCACATATCTTATTTTTTCGTTCAGACATGTATATATATATATATATATATATATATATATATATGTAACATTTATATTATACAATATATATATATATATATATATATATATATATAACATTTTTTCAAACCATATATACTTCGATAATGTATGTGTATATATATACTTTTTTTATTTAGAATATAAAGAATAATAGCTTAGGGGTTACCCATTCGGCTGTATATGTATATCTGCTATTAAGAATGTAAGATAGTGACATCTAAGGTGAAAAGAAGTGATAAATATGTAAAATACATTAACAACTTCTCGTTTTAGCACAACTTGATATCATTTTATACGATTTCATTGAATATTTATATGAAACGGCTAACTAGAAATTTGATAATTAGCGATAGTGGCTTTCCAAGGTTTCCCATCATTTACGGCCTACTCTACCTGAAAATTGTATCCCTATTCGTTTTTTGCTTGTTATATTTCAGAATTACCGAAAGTACATTTTCGTGTTAGTGAGAAGTTTCTAGATGGTGAGAAGTTTCTTATGGTTTTTAAACTTTATTATCATTTAATGTCTTTCTAGAGGAGTATTTTTTTCACAGAGAAATATTTTTTTTAAAGAGGATTTTTTATACAAACTTTCTTTTTTCGAATATTTTGACAATTGCGAACCACGATCGAGTGATTCCAATGTATAATATCTTTATTTTTTGATATTTTTTACACATAAAAGAGGCTTATATGAGTAAACATTTAAATTTTATTTGAAAGCGAAAATTTTCATAAAAGTTACAACGAATTTGCACACGATGAGAGATAGCATTTCGTCGCTTTAATTTCTCTGGGTATTCTGATCATGTTAAATGGATCTCACTTAGGGTTGTGGTCTTGCAACGATCTAACAATTCTGCAAAGTTCTAATTGACCCAACTGGGTGCTCGCGTTACAGTAACGAATATATTTTTGTGGTTTATGAAAGCATTGAATAAAACTAGACTATTCATACAAAGTTATGATATCTCTTTTAATTTATCAGCTTCAATTTTTAAAATATCGACATTTTCTTTATTCAATGATTAATTTCCTCAATGCAAGATAAACGTGAATATTTTCTCTTTACTCCTTACTCGTGCCAGAATACTTCTCATGCACTCTCTCTTTAACGTATATAATAACATAATAATGTAAAACATGTGCTGGAAGAACATTATATTAAGAAGATAATAGCATTACGAGAATAGCTTATTATGTAATAATTATGTGTAATAGCTGTTACGTAAATATGTATGAGAACAAGATTTTAATTTATATAAGTATTTTAATATAAGTAATTTTTAGCTTTTTAACAAATTATTTTTATTTCAAATAATTGTTTTAAAATTTTAATTTTTTATATAACATTATCATATATCTTAATTTAATCTACATGTAGATTATATAGCATGTTAGTAAAACTTTAAATTAACGATAAATATATCAAATGCGGGAAATTTTTCTTGAATTATTAAAAAAAAATAATTATTATAAGGCTTATTATTAGACATATATTTTACAATCATTTGTAATATTGAAACATAATGGAATATTTTTATTCCAATAACATTTCATAAATCGATGTGTAGTGTTGATTATATATACATAGTTAGCAATAATTTAGCACATGATAAATATTAACAATTAAACAATTATTTGTTATTGGAATTGTGGTTATTTAAAAAGGAACACGCTTTCTTTGAGATATAACATCCAATAATTTCAGACAATGTACTCACTACAGTCTATTGTGCACCTGCACATTGCAGGGGTGAATACCCGCAGGGGAATCGATTTCAGTTTCCCAGACAGCGACTGTTATGACTTTTACTGGCGAACGAACCTCTCTTCAAAGAATGTATAGAGAGCAAATATTAAGCCGACATTAAGATGTAAGGGAATCGAAACTAAAGACGAATATGAAATGATAATAATACTAGATAATATTAGATAATACTAGATATTAGATAATATTAAATATATCCTAATAAATAGCGTAGACAAAAACGATACTGATTGAGAGGATTTTAAATGTCTTTCATAATATAATGTATTTTCCATAGATTCGAAAAATAATGCAAAATAATCTCCACTATTATTTAAAAAACGTATTATCGGCATTTATTTTTTGCTGTTTTGTTGTAACATTTATAAATTTCTATTATTTATTTTATAAGAAATATAATAATGGTAAATTTGATTAAGTGTGGTTATAAATAATCATATATTTATAATATTTTCTCTGCAATTTTTTTTTCAATAATATTTATAATTGAGTTAAAATTTCTGTTTATTATCTTAATGTATAGATTGTTTAGTTTTAACATTACACTTACATTTACATCATGAAATAAAATGTTCCTTTCAGATCCTTTTGATTTAAAATGTAAGTTCTGTCAAGTAACACATGTGTTACATCGTGTATGCACATTCATACGAGTACGCTATATTCATCATCCCCGAAATATCAAATTTTGATATTTGCAGAACGAATGTCAACAACGGTTTACAAATCGATGACATACTCTGTGTCGTTGAATATGACCAACGTAGACAAGTTAAGCGAGAGCTTAATGTCAACGGATGAATTTCATGCGGGAATAATCCGTCTAGTGCGCGTTATTCCATGTTTCCATTGTGTGTTGTGAAATAAAAATAAAAAGTACGAACAAATAACAAAATTTGTCCGATCGAAGAGAAGGAATATCTACGACGTACAATCAGCTGATCTACAGACGAGTAAAGCTCGCGCTCCGACAAGTTTTGATACATCGAATAAACTATCCGCGATAAATCGCGAGTGTCCCGCGAGATGCACAAGAAACCACGCTATTTAGACGACACTTCGAAGAGAAATGTTGAACCATAAGTTTGTAACTTCAGTATCAGTTCACGGACTGTCTTACTGAGCAAATGTAACTCTCGAACGATGAAAATTATTTATGGCACGAATTTTTGCGCGCGCATTTTAGCTTGTTATATCAAATTGGACGGAAAATATCTTTGACGTATATGAGACTTTTGAAAAACAATTACATATTTTGTTTTTTTTCTGGAAAAACTAAAGCAATTTAGCGCGATCTTGTAATGTTTAACATTAAATATCTGAAAAGCATATTACTGAAAAGATATAGTGAATAAGTACACACAATCTTCTTTATATTATAATTAAATAATGAAATCTTTGGTCGTAATTGCATTTTTTCTCAAAGTGTGATTCGTCAACAGTACCATGACGTCACCTAAAAGTCATTTTAGAAAAATCATAATGATCTCACTTGATATACTTTCGGCAATGTTTTGGTGACTTATTTTTGATATTAAACAATTCTAGCGAATTCTGTCGGAGAATATATATACTTCGCATATGAAATCTTAAGAATCAATCATAATAATATCATTTTTTATATATATTACGCCATTACTTGTTTATTTAATTATTCATGTATATTTTAATTATATTTAAGCAACATAATCTCTTTAAAATTATATAATGCGATTATTGAATTTAAAAATTTATAATTCTTTTTGTCATCTTTAATTCATTTTTTAATCATTTTCGTTTAAGTAACTTTTAAGTGATAAATAAAATCATGATGACGTCATAATGATGTCATTATGAGTTTCATGTTCTACCTGGATACTGACTTTATCAAGTACTGATTTTGTTGAATAGTCTTAATCTTACTTTGCGTAAGAGACATGCGTTCTTAATTATCCAAATCTTTTTGTACTAGCGTAGGCATTCTTAAGTAAAGCTGATAATCATTGTCTTGTAATGCGCATTAGAATTAATTGCGATAAGATGCAATAAACGACGTAGCTCGCGCACCAGGGAACGTATAATACGCTTTAAACCTCACAGATCCATCTAAAGCGATGTTGTTCCCTTTTAAGCACTTCGTTTGCATTTGGATTGTTTATCTACTTAACGAAATGCGATGCTATTGTCATTTAACAATCGCATAAAGTTTCGATTGCCTCCACGCGCTGCATTGTTGGCAACAAATATCGCGTATCTGGGAGAGATTCTATAACTGCGGTAGAAGCACTTGTCGGGGTCACTATATACAAATAGAAAAAGGGAGGAGAGAGAGAGTTAAATAAATAAACAGTGAATAATTTGTTATTGCACGCACTTCATCTCTTTGTTACTGACACATTCAAGCGCTACATAATTTTAAAGACATGTAAAACTTATTGCTACTACACGCGTATATTTTTTTTATATATTTATTCATTTAATATTCATTCATTTTTTTTAAAAGAATTGCATGACTGCTTAAAATTAAAGTAAAAGTATTGTATTTTTGATAACAATTCTTTTATAACTGTACAATTATCGTAATAATTAATTAATGTAATTAAAAAATAGATGTTAAATAAAATAAATACTTGAATGTCTTTGTATTATATTTGAAAAAAAATTTTTAAATTTCTCCCTAAAATTTCGGGTTGAATATTTCGAAAAGGCTTGAATGTGTTTCTTTAATAATCTTTTTGATAATTGTTGTATATTCTTGAATAAATAAATAATTGAATTTTGTGTGAAAACGGATTCCTCAAAATAATTTATAATGAATCTATCTGATGTGATAGCATTTCGTCACCAGTATAGTACTTTTGCGAGTTCTGATTAAGCTGAATTTTTAATATAGTTTTGCGATAACAATCCTGTAAAAAGAGGTGTTCCTGTTGCAGTGATGAATATTATGTCGCTGTTCGTGATAATATTAAATAAAATAAATAAAATTATTGAATAAAATTTGAGTATTTGAGATTTCATTCTTTAATTTCGGTATGTTTCTTGATTGATTCCTTTCAAATTTTAATACAGAAAGTTTGTAAAATCTTTCCTGATTTTGCTGCAAAGTTAGATTAGCTACTTCTTGCATTTCTTTAATCTAAGATTATGTAATATAACGTGAGATATATAAGAATATCGCATGACAAAATTCGATAGCAGCATTACAACGTCATCAACTCGCTATACATATAATAATGTGATGCATGTTGGGAGAATATATTACAAAACATTGTATTATAAAATATCACAAAGCATTGTATCGTGAAATATTAAAATATCATATTATACATATTACAAAAACATTGTATTATAAAATATAGAAGATTTTTCAACGGTAATATTCAATATATTTCATATATTTTCTACTTCATAATTTAAACAATTCTAAAGCTAAAATAATTTTGAACATGCATTAATTTTGCCAATACTTTTTAATATTAAAAATTTTTGTTTACGTTCGAAAAGGAGTGAAATACTAGAGCTAACTTTTCTGACATTTTACGAATTTCAAGATATTGTTAATCGACATTACTTCTTCGGGGAAGCTCCGTCGTGTTGATTGCGTAATCAACTTTGCTCGGATGAACGTTGCAACGATCGGTTCGAGGCTGGCCTGGCATCATTCAATTATGCTTCGAGATGTCAGTGTTTACATCGAAGCAACACGTGAAACGGTCCCTTCGCCACCGTCGCCGTTTCCGCTCCGTAGTTTGCCACCCCTTTGCGCGAGTCGAGCCATCCCCTAGGATCCAGCGGAATGTACATAAGCGACGAGAAGGTGTACGCGTCGATTGGTCGAGCGAGCCCGGTCGATGGCGAGAGGGGGCGCCGGGTCGTTCACGAAGCTCGTAGTGCCGCTCTGACCACCGTCGCGGCTGGAGTAGCCGTCTTGTCGTCGCTTTACCTGGTAAGAATCACCAACGCGATCGCTCACAGAAAGAGAGAGAGAGAGAGATCCATCAACATCACATATACATCTCCGATTTTAGCCGATGATCTCGGATCGGTAAAGATCGCGACGCTATCCCGGAGCCAGCGGAACCCTCAGCGAACCGATCGAGGGAAACGATCGTGAAAAGATCGATGTGTAAGGGTGACTATTATAGGTGCAGCGAGGTCATTACACTGAGCATCCCTGATATTGTCGAGTGGTGAGTGCGCCCACCGTGGGATCAACGAGGAGCAGCAGCTGAGATAGTGGTGGTACATCACTACGAGTGGATCGACAGACGAATCGTGGATGCGGTCGCATTAACAAACCTCCCCTTCCGAGATTAACATCGCTCGGCAGCCGACAATCTCCGCGGTAAGTGGGATTTCATTGCTTACTCACTCACCGCGCGTCAACTCGCGATGTTTACTCGTGTCTCATCTTCGATCGCATAACGTTTGATGACTTTTTGAATATATTGAGGATTTACGGGACGTCTATGAGGGATAGAAAGATTTTTTATAGCTTCGAAAGAGACTCTCGAAATTTTACGTCGATACCTTCTTGCGCTTTAATTGGCTGTGGAATTAGGCCGGGATAACGATGATCGGATAATATCGATGACAGATATTTACGATATTACCCATATCATGTTTTAGGGCTCAGGAACCCTTGAGCACATAATCATAACTCATGTACATAGTTCGTATCACGGAATTCCCCTAAGGTCGATCGTTATGTTCCGAATAATTATTCTACGAGCAATTAACTATTTCGAGCGATTCATTAATGATTTTTTAAGCGCGATATTATTGTAGCAATTTATTAACATATAAGAAGTATAAGCCATGTACAAATTTCCATTTCAGAATTATTTATTCGCAAAATACGCTTCTGTTCAAACAGAGACTCATAACAATAATTTTATTAGCTATCTATCTATTTGATCTGCAATACACTGGAAAAATTATGTCGTAAGTTTCCTTTGTAAAATTATCTTTATTATTTACATAATAATTATTATGAGCTTTTATAAAGGCGAAATTGTTTATGCTCGTTTTATTCACGAGTTTAATTGTTAAACTGATTATTTCAAGTTTTATAAAGCGAAAAATTAAATGCTATGGATAGTAACTGAAATGATAAACAATAGACTTATAAGTTTATTTAAATAATAAATTACGTGGTAGTAGCGTGGTTTACCTTTTCTAAGTTACTAGGTGTAAATTAACGCAGTAATTACATAAACGCGTTTGAGAAACTAACGTGTGCGAAGTTGCTTGAGTTGATAATCACGAAGTGTATACTATAAGAGAGACTATATATCAGAATTAATATTTCAAGTGATAAAAGGAATATTAACCTGAACTAGGTGATAATAGAAAATGACAATAGAAAATAAATATATAAAATGCGCCAGATAATTATTACAAATAGATCGGTAAAACAAAAATTGATAAACCAAAATTAAAATAACATTGTATTAAAGAGCCTCGTGTTTTTGAGAAATGATATATTTAAAATCTTTGTTCCAATCTGAGAATATATTTATTTTTTGCTTCACTTTGCGATTGAAGAAAGAAAATTCTTTGTCGAAAACAAATTATATTGCTGAATAATTTTATTCATTTCAAGGAGGAGATTTTTTTCTCTTATTTCTTCAAAATACGACGCTTCTCCAGAGAGATATTGAATCCTCGCATTTTACCAGTAATACTAGTCGAATATCAGGATTATTGACGAATCGATGAAATCTTGACTACCAGTCTAATTGACAATTACAAGCCTCGGCAGGTTTATGTAGCTGTGCATTCGCAGCGAATAATTGCCCTCGGTAATTTCGGTCTTCTGCTGCTGCGCTTTGAATGAATCGCTTCGCTTATTGTAGCTAGCAGAATAGAACAGGTCGAGAGGAAGAACAGTTCTTTTATTTTTTTCAGAGATACTTTTGATCGATGTACGAACATAGTTTTCAACAGCAAAATTAAATCTAAAACATGCTGGAATTAATAAAACCTTAATCTTAATCTTAAACTTAAAATCAATAATCTTAAGTTTAAAATAAATAATTTAATAATTTTATTATTCAATTAATTTTAAATCATGCTGTTACTTCGATCATTAATTAAATTATGAGCATAATAAATAGCGAGAGAGAGAGAGAGAGAGAGAGAGAGAGAGAGAGAGAGAGAGAGAGAGAGAGAGAGAGAGAGAGAGAGAAAGTTACAATTAAAGAATAACGAATAATCGTAGTAGGAATAATTATGTTTGCGAATTTGTTTCTAAATAGTATGTTTTAAGATGATTATTTTTTTCGTTTGATTTATTTGCGTAATATCGCATTATATGATCAAACGAACGCTTGCCATTTACACTATCAAAATCGCTCGAATTTTCCATCATTTTATTGTCACGTAATAATTAAATTCCGTTTTGTGAATAATTCCTGTTGTTTCAGTTAAAAATTTACTCATGAAATATTGCGCTATTTGTTACATAAAACGAACAAAACATTAAATAACAGTGGTGAAATATGCTACTAATTTTATGTTAAAATAATTTTATATTAAAATAAAAATAATGATGATCAAGATATTTTTGCAACAGGACTTTTTTGTATCGACATTTTGTAATGACATTGATTGCATTCGTAACATGATTCGAATTATAAATTTGCTTTAAAATGAGCTCCCGAATGCTTTAAATTACTTCGATTATTAATACTTACATATCGTAAATGTAAAAGGTTTTAAAAAGAATTTAAAAAGATTTCGTTTAATATCCGATATAAGTCTAATGAGATTCAATCTAATCAAGACTATTAAATACTTGAACGAATCGCGTAATATGATAAAATTAAAACTGCGAGAATACAAAATATGAAATTTCATAGATGGTATATACTTTCGCACTTATATAACATATTAATAATAAGAAAAAATGTGATAATAAAAAAAATTGGTAAAACGAAATAATATTAATAATAAAAAAATGTAACGATAATGATGACAAAATTTGAGTTACGACATTAATGAATGTTTAACGAGTGTTAAATAATTCAAGTAAGAACTTGCATAATACGCATTATATAATTTCGTAATATTGACGATATGCAAATACAATTTGCAAATAATAGATATTACGCGATTTATTCAAGTATTTAATAGTATTGATTAGATTGAATCGAATACAAACATTGGATGAAAAGTACAATGATTTATTTATACAGATATGTACACACAACACATACACATATTATACAAAATAAATACTGATGTAAAACGACATCATATACAACTCGTACCATTAATTTTGACCATAAATTTTCACTCGCTATTCATGCCCCCCCTTTCGTTTAATTTCTCGAAATCCTGGATTGTTATGCGTGAAATAAATGAAGGAATTGGAAGAGTATGGTTGCCCGCGGATTAAATCGTAACACTCGTTTGTACCGTAAATCCTTTGAGAAGACGGTTAAAACAGAGGAGAAATAGAAAAACGAGAAAAGGGTAGAATTCAAGCATGTCGGCCGAGATGACCGATCCTCCGGAAATATTTGCGACGGTCGGTCGGCATTCGAAGTATTTAATTAAGTCCGGAGGAAAAGTCCCGCAGTTACATGTCCTTGTGCTTTACGCGGACGCGTATCTTTGTAGGAAAACACATTTTCACAGGGAAAGATTCGATCTGAAAGGAAATACGTCTCATGAAAGATTTCTCTTCGAGCTTTACTTTACGATAAGAAAAATTCATTATCGGCGCGGAGGATGTGGGCGATTTAATTTTGAAGAAATTCCAAAGGTTTTTATTCCCACGGAAGTTTCGATTTATCGCTTACGCAGCTTTTCGACAAGTTATCTCCTCCTGTTGTGGGTGCACAGGTGCACTTACGTAATGGTGGTATACACAGGGTAGCACGTTTCGCGGGTAATTACACTAAATGTCCATCAAACACAGAGGGAGGTTGCTAATTGAACAAAAGAATGGAAGTTAACGAGGTAAAAGGGATGTCGGCACGAGAGTTAGAAGGCCGAAATGAATTGTCTTTAATAGCTGTTCTGTCGTTGCGCTATGGGAAACGCCTCGCGCATTTCACACCGGATTGTGCGAGAAAATGAGAGGGACTTAAAAATATGAATTTCCATCTTCTTTTTCTCCCGCGGGGATGTAATTATTTAACTAACCTCTAGTTATTTATGACATTTTTAACCTTTTTAAATTGCGCCAACGGGCAAACTAATTGCCAATTAATATTAATTAACATTAGAATAAGTATCTGAATATATAATATCCAATCTTAATAATTCATTAAAAATCTGGGGTGGTGGTTTAAAAGGTAACTCGCTTGTAATAATTGAATTAGAAATGATAAAAGTAGTAACATTTATATCATGAATAAAATAATACAAATAATATTAAAACGGGAAAACAATAAAGTTATAATTTTTGATTAAATCTTGTGTTAATGTAATTTCTCTGAGCACTTTATAAATAAGATTTCTGCCGATATGCATTCGAATTTAAGTAAAACACAGAACCTCATTGAAATCTTTTCGAGAATAAATGCATTAATTTAATAATTCTTTTATATTACTGTCAAAATTTCTTTATTATTTCTAAGTTTAAAATCCAAGCTGTAAACTTGGAAATATTTCGGCAATAATATAGCGAAATATGGAAAGCGGGGATAATCCAGGATTTGAGATAAATAAGCTCGGAATTGCGTACAATACAGCCTAGTATTTAAAAAAGTTAATGGATAATCAAAAAATCATCCCGACCGATAAAATATGTGTACTCCATTATTATTCTATCTGGATTTTCATTTTCCATTACGTGATCCTCTTTTTGCGCGGACAACGATCATTCAACAAATAGCCTTTCGTATTCATAAGCAATATTATAAAATCCAACAGAGTACATTGAACAACCATTAATATCGATGATCTCGCGGCCGCTGGTGATGATGACCGCGGCTTTTATAACGAGGGATCGATCACGTGGCTCGTGTGTGCCACGATACAGTTATACCGTCAGCCAAGGCAAAATTATTCCGCACGCCATTAAATCATTCGACCGGCAATTTTCATATGCGACCGCGAAACATCAACGGGTGCCGTTTATATAAACGTTTATGTGCTCGGCGCAGGTCGCGTTCTGCACGAGACACGGAATAAAGGCTACGACGTGACGTCAAATACGTTGCACACGTATGACGTCACGCAGGGCGTAAAGGGCGGTCAGCGGCGACCGTCGTGAGCAGGGGATATCGCGTCGCGGTATCGCCGCGCATGTGAGAAAATCCCTTTGTTATCGCCGGAGGCGTATGAGCTGACTCGAGATTACTTCAACACGTGGTTAAGTCTATGCGTGTGTGTAAGAGAAATTTTTAAATCTAGAATCTGCGCCGGATATCTTTGCCACATACGTGGGAGTCGCGCGAAGCTCGAGGCACGTGTGATAATATAAGATTCAATTTTATGTTTTATTTGGTAACGGATTTCTAGTATTTTTTAGAGAAAAAGAGAGAACAAAGACAGAATATATTTTCTCGATTCCTTATATACAAACAATGATGAAAATTTCAATCGGAAAGGGCTCCGCTTTTTTTAATGAAAAAAGTGGTTTTGGTCAAATTGGCTGAAATTGAAATGTGTTTTAGTTTAGGTGATGCTGATCAAAAATTTCCTCGGGCAAAAAGTCCACAAATCAAAAATATAAAAAATATGATTTGAAGTGAGTTGTACAACATATATATATATATATATTAATTTAATTTATATGTGTTCAAAAACTGGCGTTTTTAAATTTCAATACCATTCATTTTAAATCATCGTATCTTTTATACTTTTGATTTTCGGACTTTTTGGCCGAGGAGACTTTTGATCAGCATCATCTAAACTACAAAATATTTCAATTTCAGCCAATTTGATCGAGGCCACTTTTTCATATAAAATGTCCTTTAGTTGACATTTCAAATCGTTAGATATAGCGCGTTTTTTATTGTTTCGCCCATAAATAAACAAGGAAATAAACTTCAATTTGCCTGCTATCGTTAAAGGACATATTATGCAGTCTTTCTTTAAAAAATTCGACAGTAGACGATTGCATCTAGCAATAAACGAAATATATCGTTGTTTTCTCCCTTTCTCAGATATCAAGCTTGCCAGTTTTACGGCCGTTTCGCTGGTGTGACGCTAATATACCAACGGCGACGATGCAACGTTAACCCTATTCGAAGCAATCTCCCTCCATCTTACCGCAACTCGGTAGCTGGACTACCTTTGAAGCTCAAAAGCCAAGCTGTCACGTTCGTAGTGACCCCCATCGATCGATAGGGTTTAGTACTAAAGGTGCACTCACGAGCTCTTTGGTTTATCGGATGTCGCGCAACGTTTCTCGTCCAATGAATCTCATTTGAGAATCGCCAATACTGAAATTTCCAACACGGTAACGTTCGATAGGTATCGAATACAAAGGGAGGAAAAGAAATAGAGAGAGGAAATTAGAGAGAGAGATAGAGAGAGAAGGACAATGTGATTTGTTCGAATACGATGGAAATGCTGACCTCCCTTCTTCTCCTTTCGCTCGTTATTGAATCCTCTTTGCGAGATTACGTTGTAATTGGCTCTCGCTTCATAAACTCTTACCCTCATGTGAATTGACTTAAATTTAACCCGCTATTCGCAGCGCGGTTCGTTACTTGACAGTTTTAAAGTGTATCTATTCGGGACGATCTGATTGATTGCATTGTCTACGTTTGCACGTTTTCCGCATGGACTGAAAAAAATTCCTTTGCTTTCTGCTTCTGTTGCACATGTTTCAAGCAACCGTGTATGCAGGCAGCGTTGATCGAATGTCCAAAAATATTGCACGTGTAAATATGCTGAATAAATATCGCAATATGCGAATCTTGAATGATACACTGAGGAGAAAATTATCTTGAAATAAAAAAATTTTAGTTAACTCAAGAAAGCTATTTATTTGATGGCTACTAATCACGTATTTACTTGTATTTAAAACGTCTGTTTGCTTAAGTTAAGTATTTATTTACAAATGTTTAAAAAAATATAATTTTTAGTTAAATATTTTAATTTTAATTTTACAAAATATTTATTAAAATGCATTTTTTATTCCCAAAAATTTAAAATTTTTTAATTTTAAAAAATAATATATTTAATTTAATAAATTATAGTATATATTTTACGAAAATAATTTTTAAATATAAAAAATATATAAGTGAAAATAATGTATTTAATATAACATGCATATTTAATTAAAATTAAATACTTTTGCTTAAATGAAATAAACAATTCCTTGCATTTAAAGCAAAAGTTTCAGGATAACAAATTTATTTGATTTAAAAAAATTTTTCCCTCAGTGTACATATTCTGCACATTCTAAATTTTCTTACGTTTAAAGATACCGTATAATAAATATAAAATACAGGCAAAATATAATTTCTAAATTTAAAATGGAAAAATGTAAATATTATATATTTTAATATTTTCATCGTAGAATAATTATTGGAGCAAAATAATTCGTTTTATTCAGAAGCGTACAAGCATGTTCCAAAGTTAAAAGTCCTTAAATGAAGTTTATCATTTTTGTTCTGTTTCTATTTTATATAAGAGAGGAGAAACTTTTAAAAAATCTACGAGAATATCTCTCTCTCTTCACAAGAATAAGCCTGTTAATGTTTTCGCGCAGCATCTCGAAGACTGAAGTAATAAAATGTTCTTTTTATTACCTCCGGCAACAAACGCTCGGAAAATTCCGTGAGATTAATGTTTGCATTCACGAGATTAATGTCCGTTATTCAATGGACGAAGTTATTCTTCTCTGTTTGTATCGTGCGAGTATTTCTATTTCTGCCGTGCCGTCATACAATATTAACAGCTACGTGGACAATACATAGTCCGCGAACAGTTTGGACTTTATTCCAATACATTGTTCGGCGAATATCGTTTCATTTGCCGACTTCAGCTAACGGCAAGTTCTGAGACACAGAGGTAGATAGGTGAGAGAGTTCAAAGTCGCCTGGAGGACACGAAGAACCGAGAGTTCCTCCCACGAGAAGTCGGCAACTTTGAAATGCTGATGTCGATCGTTCGGCTCGAGCCGCCATCGAATCGAATTAAGTGTGGCATTCCGATCAAAGCGATCTTTCCTCGAACTGTTCTTTGAGGAATTATATATTTTTCTCCCCCGATAGAGTCCCAGCAGTCAGTTCTATCGGGATAAATTGCTGGCACTTGTGAACCGACCGACAAATTATCTTCCTCAAATGTAGAGAAAAAAGAAAGAAAGAGAGAGCGAATCGAATCACCTCTATTTTATATTACCTTGGAAATTGCACGTAAATTGGTTTTGCAAAAAACGAATATCGAATATTTGCGAATCGATAATTTTTGCGTCAGGTCGCGAAACTCTGTTCCATTTGGTTATCGTGTATCGGAGGTTTTATCGAGGAAACTTTCATATCGCCATCAGCACGTCGCAAATTTTCGAGTCCACCCATCACTCGTAAAGTCGCAACGACAAAAAGAAACACTTGATATCGGTCAGGGACGCCTGGTGTACAATGCTAAAATGTTTATCAATATATTAATGTCGTAAACAGAGAAGGATCTCTTGTAGAAACTCCTATCTTCCTATTGAGGACACTTCCGTTTAATCCGCTCTTAATCCATTCCCACTAATATCTTTCTACGAGAGTGCATTTCGAGTAGAGAGCTCTTCTAAAGTTTCCATCATGAATGACCCTTATCGTGCGAGTAGAGGGAAACTAAAGGTCGAGCAAGACGAGTATTCCGACGAAAGAATTTTACATACGTAATCAGAAATGATATGAATTTCGAGTGCATTGTATTATTCGAATTAAACGCTAAAGAAAATCTGAAAACGCATTTGAAAAATTAGAATTAAATCTGATAAATTAAGAGTAATCAATATGTATGTAATTACGTAGTCAGGATCAATGTAGTTACATTGATGATTTTTTTCTGGGATTGAAATCACAGAAATATTATTCGGCCAACATTGATTGCTCGAATATTAAAGGGGATGCTTCGCGACATAAGATGTACAATTTTATATTGAAGAAGTGACAGGTTTAAATCTTAGATAAAACATCGAATTAATTTTGGAGATTGATTCACGTACGATTGTTTAAGTGTTTAAACTGGATTGAAATACCGTCTCGGGAGACAGATTGAACAGCTTATTCAGTTCAGCAGTGATACGTGTTCCGTGGATATTTGCGACGCACGAATCAATATATACAGTGAGCCGAAAGATATTACGTTAGTGATTGGATTCATCAATGTGGAACTATCAGCCCGGACTCACATGTTGCTTTCATATCCGGAAATAGATTTTGAATACGCTAGGACGGAGGTCAATTATCAATTACCGGCGCGGTATGTTACGTTTTGTTCGATTAATTGCTCCTCTATATCCCATTATCACTTATTTCTATATCGTATATCATTAAAATCAATCTTGATTATACGATAAAATCGCAATATAACAAATAATGGATAAACTTGTGTCAAATATTTTGCATAATCTGTGTCGAATTTTATACAAAGATATTATTTTGGTCAAATTTTTATGTCTCTTTTTTTTACAAATATTGTGATTGCAAATTTATATAATTATTGCGATTGAGAAATTAAACTAACTGGATGGCTTTTATTTTATTATAAAAAAGCAGATTAGTGCTAATTATGATAAGTACCGCTAATTAGGTATCTTGCAAAACAAGTTCGTAGAATATAGATTCTAATTTAAATATCGCTTAAATACATTTATATTATATTTAATAGCATTGAAAAATACTTCAAAGATATCAGTACAATTATTCTTCAATGCCTAATTGATTATTTTACTTGAAACGTAAATATTATAGATATTCGATATATCCAAACATATGTGTGTGTGTATGCGTGTATATGTTAAAATAATTTTCATAAAACTATATTTGATTCAGTCAATATTGTGTGTTTGCCACAGTGAAATTATTCAACAATTGACATTATTAAAAAGTGTTACACAAATCTTATACCCTCATTACTCGAGATAAATCACCGTTCATTAATAATGACCAACATTTTAATTTTAATTTAATTAAATTAATTAATCTCTCGCGAAACGTGGCGGATAAGAGCCGTTATTCTTATCAAATTACATGACACAACGATGAAAATTATCGAGACAATTTCCACTGATAGTAGCGTTATCAATTTTCGGCGAGAATTTGCGCGTTACGATCGATCGACCGAGACCATCACGTGGCGGTTAAGCTGGTGCGATGTCCCGTCATGATCCTCGTCATGAATATTAATCTGGATTACGATGCAACAACGTACGCCAACGTAGTCGATGGCGTGGGACAACGAACGAGAGGCAAGATCCGTGGGACGTGCGTCGGATGATGATACGTTTCAAAGGGAGACGCGACGTCTAATTCCTGCAGACGCAGATGCCGTCGCGGCAGCGGCCGCCCCGACGACGCTGCACCAGGCATTTAGCCGCGCACGCACTGTGGTTTATGGTCAACCATTGGGATTGCCACGATAAAAGGTCGCAGGTTACGCGCCGGTGTCGGATGGGCGACAGATTCGATGCCATCTCGTCGTATTGCGGCTCGTCGATGGTGGCTGAAACAATTCGAGCAATTTTCCCATTATTTTCCCTCGTGCGATAATAAGACCGAAATTCCGCGTTTCACAGAGTATATTGAATTTTTACACGAACACAGGATATATATTCGACACCATGTATGTTACAATGCGAAATCGTATTTACGGGACGAACGAAAAGAGAATTTTGTAGCAGGAATGCACATTCTCTCACGAGAATAGAGTTAATTCTTCCTTTTGCGCTGTCTTTTTCGTTTAAAGTAAGGTGAGAAATTGAAGGAAATTTGAAAGCACTTCTTTCTTTTACGAATTACCTTATATTGGGAGTTATTTTTATTAAATAAATTTCGAGTTTTTAAAGAGAATTTAATTTTTATTTGAGACTTTAATTACGGAAGATTGATTTTAATATTTAAATAATATTTAATAATAATATTTAATTTTAAATAATATTGAATTTTAATATTTAAATGATATTTCAGAGAGTAAAGTAAATACTATTTCTAATTTAGCATTCGGAAATGATGCGATAAGTCAAATGATTCATCAGAGAGAAAGGTCGTGTCATATTGAAAGGATATCGACAATGTATTATCAATGTATGCTAAAAGGGTACATTGGAGAAAGAAAAGATTAGAGAGAGAAGGAGAAAGAGCGAGACAGAGAATATATGTATTTATGTGTATAACACATTATTATTGACAAAAGATAATGCATTCTAGATATTTATTAATCAAAGTTGAAAAGTTTCCCTATATTGTACAATGCAATATTACTCTCCTCGAAAAATAAGGCTATAACAACAACAAACACTAATATTTGCATCATAATTTCTTCATAATACAAAAATAATATTTAGTATTTTTAATACTTAACAATATCTCTCTGTCTTTCAAATATCTTTCTTGATATCTCCGCAAAAAATCTCCGATAAAAAAAAGCAGAGAGATTATTTGAAATTAATTAAAGCTTAATAAAATTGTTCAATTATCGAGAGACTTTTCATTTGAGCTACGAGAAATTTTTCCGTCGTCCTCTCTTTTACGATAAAACGTACTTACTCAATTCGTAAGTAGGTCCGTCATAAACAGCCGATAGTGTGTTTGCCGAAACGTAAGCTAGTACAGCAAAAGTGGCGAAGATAACGAGCAGCTTCATGATCGCAAAATGAGTTTTCACGTGCACTCGAATACCCCTGAAATGACGATATCCTTAAGGATGTGGAGCGCTTTATATATCTCGACGCTGCCACCAAGAACATCCTCTTTCGCCTAACGGAGCGATTTTCCTTGTTAATGTCCCGCCACCGGAATTCTCGTGGCTTCGCGTTTGCTATTTCCAGCCGACTGACCTACGTATTCGAATATTAATTTCCGGTATTATCACCGTTACCGGGACGACTGCGAGAGAAAGGGAGAGGCGATAAAGCTGGTCGATCGACTGCAGCTTTTCTATTCGAAAGTGTCGACGTGACTATAGCTTGCGAGAAATAAGTGAATTAAAAAAAGTTGACAGGTATTCATCGAAAAATTTTAATATTCGAAAGTAAACGATATTGTGAAACTTCTTAGATTTCATCCTGTCATCCTATCTTCGACGTACCGATATAATCCGAGGGACTGACGAGATACATCAAATATTGAATAAAAGAAATATTTTATACATGTATTTTAATATATATATAAATATATAAATATTAAAAAAAAAAATTATGAATAAGAAATTTTCAATACCTGACTATATCTACTACAGATTTAATCTTTCGTGATTAAATAATTCGTGCGTGTGCTGCGATCATAAAGGATTAAAATTTATCAAATTGAAAAGAAATTCAAAAGTTAATCAAAATAATAATAATAATATTTTCCATATTGTAATTGCTTTTCATATTTAATAAGTTTTATTGATTTATTTCTTCGCACGTTAATAAACACGATTAATATTCGCACATTGCAAGAATCTTGAAAGTTAATAATTCTAAGTTAATAATTTTATGAAAAATATTACGGTATCGGTTAAGCTGCGAATAAACAATTCAATGGCGGAAAATAATGCACGCGTGCTGCAACGCGTACTCGCGGGTGATCGCAAATTTCATTATTCCATAACAGCTGACCCAGATATTGAACGAAAATATGATTTCTGCAAACGCTAATATTTGCGTAGCGACGCAATGTGACGTGTAGTATGTCATTCTCAACAGCGGCGATATTTTTTTATTCTTTTTTTTCTTCGTAATCCAGGGCGTTACGGCTCTATAGGCTGTTGCACATCCTACGCAAATATATTTATGGAAATTTAACACTGAAATTTCTCCTCTTCCTCCATTATGTAACGCATTACTCAGAAGGGCGGGGGTGTAGCTTGGATATCAAATCGAAATGCTTGCACGTGTCCTGAATTACACGAGCCGTATAAGACGATGTATTACGTGCAATGCTTTATCCATATTTTTCACACTAGAAACATGCATCTATCGGATGTCATTCCGTCGTGAAAAATAAAAAGTCTCGTCGGGAATTCCTTTAATCTCGACGTCGCACACACACCCACACGCGGAAAGCTCGCCGGATCCATTCGGGATTTTAAATGATGCGTGCAACCTGTGAGAATCTGCTCTCCCATTTTATGTAACTGGTTATGCAAAGAGCTGACTTACAAATAATGAGAATTAAGATGGGGGAAATTTGAAAAATAAATAATATTTGCAGAAAATATCAGCATGAGACGACAATCGTTCTGCCCGAGTACGAGCAGCGGGAGCGGTGGTGCCGAGCCGCTGATCGTCGTCGAGGAAAGCACGGTCGGCGAGGAGGAAGCGGATCGCTGTCGCGTGGAATCACCGCCGCGTTGCGTCGATCCGGATTCCCCATCCTTGAATCCCTATCTGCTCTCGCCGTGGAGGGACGCCAGGAAGCATTCCTTACCGACCCCGCAGTGCACATCCGGGATAACCGCATCCCAGGTATATATGTGTGCGCGTGCACAGGAAGCCTTTCGCGGTTACGGCGATATTGATATGCAAACAATGATAATTTTGATGCTGTTATGCACGAAATATATTGTTAGAATAAACTTATTTGCAGCTCAGGATAATCGCGATAAAATGAGCGTTGTTCTCGATATAAATAACGAGATGAAATCGTCTAATATTATATTTCTTGGATTTTATTATAATTTCATATATTTTAATTTAAAATTAATTAATGAGGTATATTATTTTTCTTAATATCGGCAGACAGGTTTTAAAAAATCTATGGTAAAGAGGTTTAAGAATACCTAGGTAGAACATGAAACTCATAATGACATCAATATGACGTCCTAAAAGTCACCTAAAAGCCTTTTAGAAAAATAATGATATTATAATGATCTCATTTGATATACTTTTGGCAATGTTTTGGTGACTTATTTTTGATATTAAACAATTCTAGCGAACTCTGTTGGAGAATATGCAGGGTGTGCCAGTTATCTTCCGTCATCTTTCAAAGATAGATTCCTGGGATCATTTGAAGACGATTTTTCCTCAGCGAAAATATCAATGAAGGCCATCATTTTTTACATGTTCCCGATTTTTGTCATCATAAATCTTTCCAATTAAGTCTTAAATTAAAACTCAACTAAAGTAAACTCTATTTAAAATTAATCAAAGAATGTGGTTTTGTTAATATTTTGTTTCTACAAAGCTTAGTTTACGAAAAACCCCTTATTTCCAATCACTTATAATTCGAAAATTATTAGTGCCTCGACATTTTCGTTGAGGAAAAATCGTCTTCGGATATATCATTTTTTATATGGATTACGCAATTACTTGTTTATTTAATTATTCATGTATATTTTAATTATATTTAAGTAACATAATCTCTTTAAAATTATATAATGCCATTATTGAACTTAAAAATTTATGATTCTTTTTGTCATCTTTAATTTTTCATTTTTTATCATCATTTTTTATTTTTTTGTCATCTTCATTTTTTAATCATTTTTATTTAGGTAACTTTTAGTAAGTGATAAATAAAATCATGATGACGTCATAATGATGTCATTATGAGTTTCATGTTCTACCTGGGTAATCACGTTAAAAATATATCACACGAACCGGACATGTTATGATTGAAATAATTTTATTATCGCGATTGAATAAATTTTCTTTTGAGGCTGCTTAGCTCATTCTTCTTCTATAGTGATAAGATAAAAGCACACATATTGAATGTCGCAGTTAAAGTTACATCAATATAAATTACGAACAGGTGCGACGATTGAGCGAACGCGGCGGAGAAGGATCCGGTCCATCAGCGAGAGAAGCTGCCTTCCTGGCGACGCTCTCGCAGACGCCGGCTCCGCAGGCAGGCGGTCGACGACACTCTGTCGTCACGATTTCCAAGGTGCCGACTACCCTATTTGGTCGCAATCGTCGAGAATCTATCGCCGCATTTCCCATGGGAGGCGCCACCAGGATATTGCAAGGCCGGCGGGACTCGTCCACCGGGATAACCGGTCCGCCCAGTAATAGTGGAAGCACTCACAATTTGCAGCTCGACATTATGGACGATATCGCCGAGATCAAGGCCAAAAAGGTAATAGTATAAATTTTATAAATGACATAGATAAAGTAGAGTTAAAATAAGAGACACTCTGTGTATATCTCAAACGATACGATAGTCCTTTTTTATTGTACTGTATATCTTCCTGCTGATTAACTTGGAATGAGGGGCAAGACCGAGTTCCTTAATCACTATTAGATTCATTAGACGGTTAAAGATTTAGATCACTTTTATTTTTCTTCTGCTCTTTGACTAAAAGTCTCCAAAACTTTGAACATACATTGAATCGCATGTCTTATTGTTAAATTCAATTTCAAAATTAAAGCCTTCTTTCAAAATTCAGATTAAAAAAAATCAAGAGTTCTTGTGTTTTTGTGAAATAATATTATATTATAAAGCATAAGATTCACAAGACCAAAAACTAAATTACAATAAAATAATAACTGAAATACATATTGATCAAAGAGTTTCCGGCAGAAATAATTTAAAAATATGCAGCGTTATTAAAATTGTAGTTAAATTGTTTATTTAATTGTTTATGTTATTGTAATTGTTTAAATTGTTAATTCATACGCATCTCTTATTTGCTCTCTAACTTTGCTCAAACGAGAAGCGCTTTAATACTCGTACCTTCTCAGGTTCGTTTAAAAATGTACAAGACATCGTCTCGCGAACGCGTATGCGAGATCCAGCCTCTGGAAGGCAATGGCAGCTCTACCACGCAAAAATACATACAGCATCAGAAACGTCGGTTCTCTGAGTTCTCAGCATCGGTCGCGGCGTCGACATCGGCGCTACGCAGACGTGCGTCTGAAATGACGAAGCCGATTTGCGAACTCGATGTACCCTCTTCGGCAACAGCGGCGGGCATTACATGTTCTAACACAGACCTGATATCCATTTTGAGTTCCTTGACGTCGTCCGCATCGGAGATAAACACGTGCGGCACATCGGACGCAAAGGATGAACAAAAATCGAGCTGGTCCTCGAAGACGGCGGAGCAGAGACGTAATCGACTCAAAAGCACACGATCTAACAGCTTCGACGTGTCCATTCTGCATAGCACCAAAAGCAAAACATCGAGCAGCAAGGGTACCGTAGGCTCGCTCGTCGCACAGAGCAATTGGTTCACCAAGCGTCATCAACCTATCTCGAAAAAGAATAGGTACCTGGATGAAGAGAACGCGACGACGTTCAAACTCGACAAATTAAAGATAGTTAAAACCGTCAAGGATACGCTGGCGAAGAACGTGGACACCAGGCACAAGGTTCTTTGGGATGACAGCAGCGGTACCAAAGTGGACGCTCAGGTAAACGAAACGTAGTGACGTTCTGTTTATTCAAAAGGGAAGACTAACGTTAAACATGTTAATCATAGAGTCAATTGCGTGTATCTTTCTCTAGTAGGCATTTATAAGCATCACGAGAATTATAATTAAAAAATTATAAATTTAAAATAAAGTTCTATTTTTATCTGTAGGGTTGCACGAGATACTAAGATTAGTCTTGATATTGTCTTGTCTTATCTTGAATGTCAAGATCAAGACAAGATTTTTAATTAGTTATCAAGACAATACCAAGGCTAAAACTGTCAAGATTATTAGTCTTGTCAAGATTATTGGTTCTCAAAAGAACTAAAATATTTATATTTGTAAATGAAAAAAATCACTATATACGAATTTAAAAAAATTTAATTCAATAAAAACATTTATATTAATAAATTTAAAAACATTCATTGAGAAAAGTCTTTCTACTGGCATGGACGAGGCAGTTGAACTTAAAATGTCTCGAGCTATTTTTGACAATGTGGGATAAATATGAACCTGATTTTTTATTACTCCAAAATATTTATATTTGCACATTCCCTTGGAGCCTGTAAATAGATATTAATTTCTGTTTTCCAAACAGTAAATGTTTTTTTATGTAAATAAACGGCATTTATATCGATTACATAGTAATAATTACAATTAAAATATAATACAATAGTAATAATTATTTCAAATTATATTACAAAAATTATGTTAAATATTATTTAAATAATTTTTTAATATTAGATAAAAAATTGTTAATAAAATCGAGACAAGACGAGATTTTTGCTACCAATATTCACTCAAGACCAAGACAAGATTTAAATTTTTGAAAATTTTCAATACCAATACAATATTTTTACGAATATTGTCTTGTGTAACCCTAATTGGGTCTTGTGCAACCCTAATTCTCGCGTATGGGAAAAGTGAATCACATTAAAGAAACTAAAGTTTTCTCGCGCGACGCGAAGGCGTAACTTCTCGTGTCTATTGACAGGTGCTCGGTAATGCCATCGAGAAGCTTCTTACCTCAACCCACAGGGGAAACGATGCGGAAATGTCGGGCAGTTCATCTGGAAAACCATCTGTGTCACCGAACAAGTCGCGCGGCGGCAAGGTCACCAGCTGGTTCTCGAGCGGAAACAAGGAGCAGGAGCAAGCGGACTGCGATTCGATTTGCTCCACTCTCAAGGACCTCTTCGTCAAGTAGTGCATCATCGTCGGACCGTTTCTTCACAATTACGTCATCTGTTTCGTTTTGTTACATCAAGATATACCGGATTGAGGTTTGATAGCACGAGGTATTCGTTGCACCGCTATTATTTATCTTCTTTTCGTTTTCGCCGAATGAGTTTTATTATTCGAACTAACTTCTTGTGTAAATACGAAGAGATTTGTTGGAACGGCTTCTCTCCTGTTTGCCTCCTTGAATTGGGAAGGGAAAGAGAAAAATCGGGCGCGAGAGAGGAATAGGAAGAGAGAGAAAGAGAAAGAGAGAAATGAAAATTGCGAAAGAAAACATATTTTATCGGAGATGTAATGATTTTTTCTTTTCCTTTTTTACACATTTTCTCGAAGAAAGGAACGTTAACACCCTCGCACGTTTATTTTTTATAGCAGCTTTAAAAAGTCTTTTTTATCAAAATTCTTTAAAACTTAAAAATAATAAAAGATATTGTCAGACTCGTTATCGGAGGAATATTTGGATCTTTCAACATGGGGTTTTCATACGTTTGTAAAATTTTATTTGAAAAATTAATATTCAATAATAGATGTTGCAATTTTAATTTTTGCACAGATTATACCGTTAAATACGGTGATTTACGAAGTTAAAGGCCTTTGCTAAATTATTTTTTGTAATGCAATATGCGAACATTGATGAGTACGTATACATCGATATATGTATACAAATTATTTTAGATTTTATCCTCTATTTATGTTTGTCGCAAATGATTATACTTATAATCACCGTGAAATAATAGATAGGAGATAATAGATAACGCTATGATAAATCTGTTCTTGTCTATCCTCGATTCTTGTCTGAATCAACGCACCTGCACATACAACGCTCTATAATTTCTATTAATAAAGAGAGAATGCGAATCGGAGAGAGATTGTTTATAGAACTATTTTCATATGAAACAATTATTTTTAATGATGTATCGTTTTAAGTTGTTGCGATCAGATAATATTATATTGGCGTAAAAGAATTCTAAGAGTAAGATTATGACGTAAAAAATATATTCTGTGCTATGTAAGTGTGTTTCGTAAGTATATTAACGAATATAATATGAATAAATGTTAATGTCTATCCTTTGCGGGTCAAAGGGAGGAGAGAGAGAGAGAGAGAAAGAGAGAAAATATTAATTATATATATATATATATATATATATATACATATATATATATATATATATAAAATATATTCTTAAAGAGAGGCAAACACATAGAGAACGGCTGGTCCGGTAAGTTATGCAAACTTACGACATAATGTAAGTTGGCACTTTATCTGCCATCCTTTTTCCTGTTTCATTGATCGAATTTCTATCTGTTTTCCAGCTTTTTCTGATCGGCAGCTCGTCGATATCATCACGATTTTCAATCATAATACGAGTGTCACTGATGTAGAGATATATGTATGATATTATATAAAGCTATGTGTGTAAAAATTGCCATGTACGTTTAATAATGACATGCAACAATATACATGGAGTTGTACGTCAAATTCAAAAAGAGAAAAAATATTCGTGTATCGCAGCCTCTCGAGAATTTTGTGTTTCAAGAATATAAACAACTGTGAGTATGCAAACGAATTAAATATGGAGCAGCCATAAATGAAAAATCAATTAATACCGTGACAATGTCTCGCAAATTTATTTTCTTTGGCAACTTTTCGATCGCATTTATTAGTCATTCTTGATAATTATTTTTTGAATTCTTTTTTTAAATTTGAAAGATAAAAGATGCATTGTTTTATTATATAACTATTCATCATGTCTTTATATATTCAAATTTCTTTCTACGTAATTATGTTTTAATTAAGATTTTTTAATTTTGTTCCTTGAATAACATCTTTGTGTGAAAATAGCTAAATAAATTAATAGTATATTAAATATAATTTTCTGTAATATTTCTTACATGTATGTTGAAATTTTTTTTAAACAACGTCTTTTAATTGATCTTGTCTCGCCTGTTACGGTGTGATTAGAATGTAATTAGACTGACAATAGATGTGATCTATATCTTCTATGCTGCTTCTCTCTCTCTCATTAAGAGAAATTTCTCTCAGCGTTAAAACAGCTTTTTCGATTTGTATTACATGAATAGTTTTAAAACATAATAAATGTGAATTTTATGTGTCATTTTAGATAACTGCAATCGAAGAAATTTAGAAATCGAGAAAATTGGAGACTTACGGTTATATGATTCATTCGAATAAAACGGTGTGTAACTTATAGATTACGCGTTACTTACACACCTATCTACACGTACTTATCTACACGTCTCTTTGATATATCATTATAAAGATTCCAAAAATAATCGTTGTTGAAAATTTTGAAATCTATATGAGAATATTATAATTTACTTTTTAGAAATATGTGATGTATAAATAGAATGACAATATTTAAGAGTTGAAATAATTAAGACCTATACAAAAAGAAAATTTATAATTTTTCTTTACTACATACAATTTATCTAATGAGAAGAAAAATAAAAGAGCGTAAATAAACGCGAAACAAAGGCGGTAGTACAAATATAAAACAAATGAATGAACAAATTATGTGTTATTGATCTTATTGGATTGAATGCTAACGAATAATTTCTGACAAGTATAATAAATTTGTTTCTTCTTTGAATACTCTATAATCTTCTGAATTAATCTTTAATTTTTTAAATCAATTATTAACAAAATTGAGTTTTAGAATATTCAGAAAGTAAGTATTGTGAGTAAACATTTTCTGCATACACATATCAAAAAAAATTATACCTCAATCCAGTAAGAGAGAAAACATTGATTCTTTGTTCATTACGATTAAATTTTCAAATCAATCAATTCTAAGTAGAATATAAATACAAACGTAAAAAGTACAATAATGAAAAAAATTATATATCAGTTGATAAATGATTCTTGTTATAATTCTTATTATAAAGAAAATGAAATCCATTTGCATATTGTTTTCGACTAATGCAGCTCGCCTCCATGTTAATAAGATTATAGAAAAATGTCGTATATAATCGCAAAATTGTAAATAGTATTGGTATTGTATGTTCTATCAATGTTCCCGCGCATATTGGTAAAACATAAATATAAAAAAATGAAATATACGTTGACTATAAATGTTGCAAAAAATGTGAATTATTTGTAATTGATTTTTTAACCTAAATACAATCTATAAATATTATTGTGTAATATGTAAGAACAGTAATAAGACAGAAAAAAATTAAATGCTATATGTTGCCAATATCATTCGTTAAAAAAAAATTATATCGAGAACAAAAGATATTTTATATTGATTTGGTTTATTTAAGGATCTTAATGGTCTTTATACAAGATTATCACGCAAATAATGTATAATCCAGTTTTTCTTTCTAAAAACAATTTTATTTTTAAGAAATCGGAACTATTCAGACTGTTGCAACTACATTTTTTAATTTGTTGGTGTTGTATTACAGTAAGATGATATCGTTTTCTCAGGCATTGCCTGCATTACGATAAACAAATAGGATTATCTGTTTTATAATTTGATAGAGGAATGGTATACATTTATAAAAAACATATAATGAGAATTCTAATTGTGATATATCTATATGTATTATATATGTATGCAAAGTCAAAGAATGATATAACGCTAAGGAGAAATACATTGGTTAACACTGGAATCAATACATCAATTATTGATTTCAAAATTTGAAATGTCTATTCTATTATTGAAGATTTTCATATTCTTAACACTCACTAAAATATAAGATGGTATGGAAACATTTGAGCTCATTGCTTATGTGCTTTTGCTAAATCACTCAAAGATATTAAGCGAGTGTACTTGTGGAAGAATATGGATTTTGCAAAAATCACTGCATAACAAATCTTTTGTAAAAATACATAGGTTATATTAATCATATCAACAAGCATAGAAAAGATCTCGAAATTGGTAGATGCTTCATCAAAAAAATCAGCAAATAGTTTTTCTATCCTCTAGTAGAAATTAAAATAAGCTTGTTTAAATTAATACAAAAAAAAACAATGCAGGCAATTTCATTTGTTTCTACATTAAACAAGCTTTCAATCTGTGCTCGATCGAAGAAATTAGTATCGATGAGAGAATTGTGATCATTGAAAATGGATAAAGTAGGGCAATAAAGAGAGTAAATATGTATGCAACAGCTAAATAAAAATGCCTTCGTTATAGTATCTAGTTGATTTACAATTCTCCACTGTCCGCTATTATGATCTTTTTGGAGGTCTTGCCACTTTGAGAACCCATGGCCTCCAACTGAAACAAAATTATTGTACATTTTGCAATAATTGCTCAATTATCATAATTTTCTATGATAAAAATCATTCTTTAAGAAGAAAATAACTCTTGCCAAAAATATGCAATATAGTTAGAGATATACAAAATCATACCTTTCTAACAACATCCATTCCTTCAATAACTTTTCCAAACACAACATGTTTTCCGTCAAGCCAACTAGTCTTGGCACTAGTGATAAAGAACTGACTGCCATTAGTGTTGGGTCCAGCATTCGCCATAGAAAGTATACCAGGCTCGGTATGAGTAAGCTTAAAGTTTTCATCTTCGAATCTGGCACCGTAGATGGATTTACCACCAGTACCATTATGGTTGGTGAAATCGCCACCTTGGCACATAAAATTTGGAATCACCCTGTGGAAACTGCTACCCTTGTAGCCAAAACCTTTTTCTCCGGTGCAGAGAGCGCGAAAGTTCTCTGCCGTCTTAGGAACAATATCCTTCCTCAACTGAAAAATTTCAATTTAATGATAATTATAATTAAAATCTCTATTTGTTTATTCTTTGTATATTAACAATAAAAAAATGTCACTAGTTAATACACATTTAAATTGCAGTATTATGTATTATATTAATGAAGCAGCATGAAAAGCATTTAATTTTTAAGTGCCTAAAATTGTCTAAAATTCATTAAAAAAATATTACCCATAAAAAAAATTTAGATTTAAAAGATGAGGAATAAATATAAAGATTTTTTTTTTATTTAGAATATAAAAGAAAGCTTGGGGGTTACCTATCCAGCTATTATACATTTGTTAACGAGTTATTCTTATACTTCATTTTACACGAAATTACAATATTTGTAACGAGAGTCTAAGATGAAATAAAATAAAATAAATAAAATAAAATTCATTATGATTATATTATATATAAAGATTACTACATATTCAAGCTCACGCCATCTGTGTTTAAAACTTTAAACTAATTTTTCATATGCTCTTCATGTCTTTGAATTATGCAAAATACAAAATAAAATTTACATATCTTACAAAGTGCAAAGTGTTAGTTATAATCATGTTAATCAATACATTATTTTTACTCGACAGCATATTTCTCTCGATAAACAGAAATAATAAATTTTTTAACGAAAATTTATACAAAATATAGATTAGCTCATTTTCATGTACAATTTTTAATAAAAGATAAGCGATAAGCACGCTTCGTTTTATCGGCCATTTATCTGAAATTCAACAATTTTTCTCGACGATATTATTTTTCTTACACGCTATCTTTGCAGGCGAACGACTAATCTGATTTTCCTATTGAAATTTCGACGCAAATTTTCCTTTAAGGGACGCAATTCGCGTTTCCCCTCGCCACGATTGTCGGGAAAAGTTTTCAGATAATCGCACGCGTTATTCTGCGAATGGAAAATTTTGCAACGGCCGAGCGTGCACACGTTCACGCAATCATGACGCATCGCTAACAAACGCGCAGTCGATCGCTCGCGGCTCCGCGTAATTTCGCGAGATGACAAACGCCGATCGCGTTTGTCGCTCGTTCGAACCACCGTCGAATGACGACGATCGGATCGCGCGAGACGAAAGCCTGGTTAAATCAATTTGCGAGCCGGCACGGCTCGGAAAAATCAAGATGGCCAGGCATGGCCGGAGCGAAGGAGCGCGGTGTCGGGTGAGAGAGACGTCGGCCGATGTTTCCGTTGCTCGCGAGCGCCTATTCCGACTCACCTCCATCACGATGCGACCCACGGGCTTGTCGTCCGCGGTCATGTCGAAGAAAACGCGTGGCAGTGCCATGTCCTTAGCTGCTGCAGCGAAGCTTCGTAGGAGCGTGTCGAAGGACGGTCGTCTCGGCCGGGCGGTGGCTCCGAAATGGCTCGAGTGCCTGAAGGTCGAATCAATTGACAGCCGGCAAATCGATCTCAACGCCATTCTACGCTCCTGGAAATCCGCCGGAAATCGATCCCGCGCGATCGCGATCCACGTCCTTTTCAACGCGACGCCGATTTCAGCGGCTTTTTCCGGCCTTTTCGCCGGTTATTTCGTCAAAATATTATGTAATGAAAGAAAGTTTCCTACCGTACGAGCTAGCTTTCGTCGAATGGCAATATGGTATCGCGACCACGGCCAATCGACAGCCATATTTTCCAGCTGGTCTCCGCGACCAATCCGTTTTCTCTTCACGAGTTCTCCCTATCGCTCCCTAGTTGTCGGTAGTAAAAATCTCTAGCCGCTCAGAAATAATTTTCCAACTTGATTCGTCAATTTTCTACGCAATTCGGAATATTCAAATAATATAATTCAAATAATGAAATATAATTCAAATATAAATATAATTCAAATAATGAAAAATCTAAACAAATTCGTGTAATCAACAAATACATTTCTAACTTGATTCGTCAATTTTGTATGTAATTCGGAAATAATAAAAAAATCTAAACAAATTCGTGTAATCAACAAATACATTTTTAACTTCATTCGTCAATTTTGTATGTAATTCGGAAATAATAAAAAATCTAAACAAATTCGTGTAATCAATAAATACATTTCTAACTTGATTCGTCAATTTTGTATGTAATTCGGAAATAATAAAAAATCTAAACAAATTCGTGTAAATCAATAAATACATTTTTAACTTGATTCGTCAATTTTGTATGTAATTCGAAAATAATAAAAAATCTAAACAAATTCGTGTAATCAACAAATAATCTCATTAAATTTAGAATAATCGGTTTGATTGAAATTAGAAAATGCATCGAAATTCATTGAACCAATCAAGCGGTCGAGTTAAAGTCTATAACTACAGAGATCCTGAGAGCGGTCATGTCCCTGATTTAGATGGAATCCGTAATTTTGAAGCGCCTCTATGTCCACAAAACGTGGACATTGAACTACAAAGTCATGCCCATGAAACTTCTCAAAGGGTAACATGATGACATTATTCTAGATAGGAAATATTGATACGTAATATACAATTTTATCATCACATTATGCCACTATAATATTCTTTTTCTTATTCCTCGTGTATCATATGCTTTTATTTTTTATTAAAATGTCAATGCATATAATAAAATATTTCTCCATATTGTTATTGTGTCAATAATTAATATTAATATCGTGAAATGTGTGATTTTTAAAGGAATATTATTTCTTTGAATATGTTTTCCCAGGTAGAACATGAAACTCATAATGACGTCATGATTTTATTTATCACTTAAAAGTTACCTAAATAAAAATGATTAAAAAATGAGTTAAAGATGACAAAAAGAATCATAAATTTTTAAGTTCAATAATCGCATTATATAATTTTAAAAAGATTATGTTGCTTAAATATAATTAAAATATACATGAATAATTAAATAAACAAGTAATTGCGTAATATATATATATAAAAAATGATATTATTATGATTGATTCTTAAGATTTCATACGCGAAGCATATATATTCTCCAACAGAGTTCGCTAGAATTGTTTAATATCAAAAATAAGTCAGCAAAACATTGTCGAAAGTACATCAAATGAGATCATTATGATTTTTCTAAAATGACTTTTAGGTGACGTCATAATGATGTCATTGATGAGTTTCATATCGTTATTGTGTCAATAATTAATATTAATGTCATGAAATGTGTTTTTTTAAAGGAATATTATTTCTTTGAATATGCTTTATTGATTCTAATAAGTAATGAATTTTTTTATATCACTGTTGCAAAGTATTTGAAATAGATATATTGCAACAGATGTTTTTCTTTGAGTCTTTCTCTTTCTCTCTCTTTCATATTTAAATTATTAACATTACATATATTGTAATCAACATCAAAATATTATGCCATTCTTGATTTGTTAAAAAAAATGCATTGAAAAGCAACAAGTGTTTTTATAAAAAATTCAGCTGATAAAAAGCGATAAACATTAATGATAGTGTAATGACAACTCATTGTGTTAACTCAAATGACAACTCATATTGTATTAACTCAAATGTATCAACTCAAAACTCTGTATCAAGTCAAACTTGTTTATAAATACAAGCGTAAAATACTTTTACATCATAATAAGCGATCCTATCAAAATATCCACAATGTCTTATCACAATTCCACTCGGTATATCGGTTGAAATTGCACACGTTTTTACGAATAATGATATGATGAAGAATTTAAGGTCAGACTAACGATTAGCAAAGAAATCGAATATAAATTCGACGACTTGGCTTTCAATAATTTGACGCTCGATATGAGAAATTCGCAGAATTGATTGCTGAATTATTAATTGATCGATTCTGAGATGAATAATATATGTGAAATAAATAAACTTATTAATTCTAATATCCTGTACATGTTGCATGGATGCATACGTCTATTTTAATTGAGTAAAATCATTTTATTTTTGTAGTCAATCATGATACGCGGTATCCGGGGACGAGTGTGAAGAAGACGTCAAGAGGGCGTAAAGACGTTTGAAATAGAGAAAAGTAAAAAGAGTAACGGGGCAAGTAACGGATTGAATTTAATACATCCTGCCACGTGTTGCTGTTTCGAGAAATCACTTTACGATGACTGATCCCGCGCCCAGCGAATTTAAACCGGATGTCTTCTATTAAGAGCAATTATTTTAAATCAGATCTCTTTACTGATCAAAGTCTTGGAAGATTTATGAGTTCTGTACAGACGTTTTTCGAATTTTTAATTTTTAAAGTCGTTGTTTATATCTTCACACGACGACAAAACTTATCAAACTTGCCATTCTATAATTGGGAATTAAATTCTTTCTTTAAGTATGTTTATCCCGATGGAAAACTTTCCGATTTGTGAATTTCAATCATTTTATTTCTAATTCTACATCTAATTTTTTTTTGCAAAAATAAATGTATAAAAATTGGCGAATAGGCAAAGCCTTGTTCTCAGTATATTACACCGGAAAAGACAATTACACTTCCGCGAAAAGTCTTCCTTAGTCGATATCACTATAATAGGATTTCGTCGATAATAATCGTTACGTTAAAACAACAAAAGATAATGGGTGTTGTTATTTCCAATTGTCAATTTATTATTAATTGACGTAGCATGATTAATTATTTTCATCTAGTAAATTGAAAAACCCGATGTTTCTCGAATCGACAATGCGCATTCGAACAAAGATCTACTTCCTTTTCAACTAAAGTCACATAAGCGATTCTAATTTTTCTCTATTATAAAGAATTTATTATTGAATAAATGCAAAGAATTTCTGCTGGAATGGAATAAATGAATATATTGTCAATGCAACCTATTATGTAACCAACTGTTATTACGCTCGTTACGTAAACTATTGACAATATAAAGTAAGCTGATTAATTATCATGAACAAATGTTCAAATCAGCATCATAAAATGAATTATATATAATAGAATAAAAAAACATCACGATTAAAATTTGATTCTTAAATAAGGATTCTCGTGAAAGAAACGATTTTTAGAAAAATTAGCAATTTTATAAATACCTATCTGATTGTGGAAAAAAGTATTCATGTGATCAAGACAATAAAATCGATAACATTTCAAACATATTTCATAAATATTTGAAATTCTTCCGGGAATTTGCTGAGACTCTAGTCTCTCTCTTTATATCAAATTCAATGCACTTATAAATAAGTATAAATCATTTTTATCACAATATTAAGTTGATATTTCTTTATCGATAATACTTTATCGATAATATCCTTAATAAATCGATCAACGAATTTATAAATAAATAAATATAAATAATTTTTATCACAATATTGGCTTGACATTTCTTTATCGATAATAATATCCTTAATAAATGTGGAGACGACGATTCGACGCGACATATGTCTCTATCCGAGAATATCGATCATCGGGCGATGATCGCGATTCGTGACGCTCTGACGGGGATGACGCGTGGGGGAGATGACGCATCGGCTCGATCCCACGGGGAAGCGTGCGAGACGGTATAATACCGGTACATAATTACCCGCGAATCGCAAACACGCGTCACGCCGAGAAGGAGCGTCACGTCGCGCGAAATACAGATCGCGGGCTATTTCGAGTTGCACGTGACGGACTCGAGCACCGAGTTCCCGAGATCGCTTGCGCCATTGAATTTGTGAAACGTCAAAATTCGGCGACGTCAAATTTCGGGTCGATCTTATCTTATCTCGCGAGAGTAGCGGTACTATTGTCTTGTGAAACCGAAGGGCGAATGAACCGATCGTTTTCTTGCGTCAACGCGAGGAACAGTAATTCCTCTTCTCTGGATGTGCGTATGTCGGATGATCGAAAATCGGAGGAAGATGCGATCGCGCGCATTCTTAAGGATGTTTTGTATGTACATTCCCAGCAAAAAGTAGCTGAAAATCAATATTGACGAATATATCCACTTTGGTGTATTTTGAGTAAGAAATTGTGTGGAATATTACAATTTGATCAGAGATGAATTTTTTAATATTTATCGTTGAATTATATTTCATAATAATAATAAATATTTATTACATTTGAATTTTGTTAATCGAATTGATTAACTTTTGGCAAAGAATTTCGCCTTGTGACAGATACATGGCTAACTTCATTGAATTATATTAAAATCTTTTTAACCAGTTAGTACTTGTATAATATTATTTGACCAAATATTTCCTCTGTATCTAAACTTTTGCAAATTTTAAACAAATTCTGAATATTATTTTCAGTGTTTTTGTCATTTGAATCGACGTGATTATACGTTTCCTATAAGAACACATGTGAATTCGGTGCAAATTAAAATCCTTATAACTTGTGAATCGATTTAAAAATTGTACCGAAGATTCTAAACATACGTAAGGACATTCTGTACGATTTTCATTAAATTCTCAATATTTCGAAAATACAAAACATCCTTATGTAAATCTTCGATCGAGTAAATTTTACCGGTAAAAATATGCATGTATTGTTCCGAGCGAGGTCTTATCGATGAGAGCTTGAATTTATCACGTGAGAACAAAGTATCGCGCGCGCGCGCGCTTTCGAAGGCGCATAAGTATTTATTATCAGACGCGTTGCGAAATTTGCAATTTTATAAACAAAGGAAAAGGAGCAAGAATAGCCGATTATTAGCGTTATTAGCGATCCGTTGGCGAAGGTTGTCGACGAACGGGTTGAATTTTCGCGGGAGAGTCGCATCTATCTCCGTCACGTGTTCCATGACTCGAGCGAGTCCGACTCTACACACTTGGCATCCAGTGCTTCTCGCGATCGGGAATAAATACAAACACAGACCAATGGGAGACCCATTGGTATCTACGGCAAACCTGTAGATAACTTTCGTGTCGGTGAAAAAAATTCACGCAACAACGCCCCGAAATTTCCCCGAGATTGAAATGAGACAAGGATCTCCTCGGGCATCGAATGCACCGCGTTTGAATGAAGAAATTAGACTATAACCTATATTCGCGGATTGGAAGGAGGAGGAAAGCGAGTGCAAGCGACACGAACAGACCTACACGCACACATACGTACACACGTATGATGACTTCTCGTTATCGCGAATCGTGACACCGCGTGGCTCCACGGTGCTTTTTCCCCGCTGTTTTTCCGTTTTTCCCGGGCGATCGTGTGCGCGCGCGTTTGTGTGTATATCACGTGTGCAAGCTACTCGGACAGGTAACACGCGAATATGGAAGCCACGCCGGTCTCGACAAGCATGCTGGACAACGTGAGCCCGCCCATGCTGCTGTTTCTTACGACGTTGATCGCCGGCGGAATCGTCCTCCTGATACGCTATGTCGTCAACCGGCGATCGCGGTCCAGCCTGGAGCAGGACTCGTCGAAAAGTAAGCGTCTCCAGTCATCATTTCTCGTGGAACTGCACTCTAATTGCACGCATACGCATAGGTACATTCGTGTTGCTTGCGACCCTCCGAAAATCAGAAACTGCATTCTAAACGAGATAATTACATATTCGTTGAGGAGATAAGAGATCTGAGTGCAGAGATGCAAGTGAGACGAACGTACCTTCTGTCATGCCTCTCTATTGATTTCCTTCTGCAAAATAAAATTGTTATTATTGAATGTCCCTCCATATGACGCTTGCCCGCGTGCACTTTGTGAGTCGAGTGTCACACACACTCTTGTATGATTTCTTTTCTTTTTTTTTTTTAATAATAGAAATATGAAAATTATTATAATTTCGATAGAATTCTTTCGATTTTCCAATGATTCTCGATATCGAGAAGAACGTATTTCGCGCTAAACTTTGACCTTAAATGTCAAACATCTTTTCGAAGAACGTACGCCGGATTGTTTTGAAACATTTGTATCATTTTATCGAAATTATCCCGTTTTACTTCTGAATTTTACATGATATGACAAATATTTCGAATCATTTTAATTGACGACTCAAAATAATTAAAACTTTCTTTTGTTCTGATTTATTTAATAAATAAGTTTCGAAATAATTGTAACGCCAAGTGATGTGCCTTTTTCTGATTTATAAAAAAAAATTTTGTTCTAATTTATTTAATAAATAAGTCCCGAAGTAATTGGAACGCCAAGTGATGTGCCTTTTTCTGATTTATAAAAAAATATCGTGTAGAGATTTATGATTCATCTCGCAAGTAAATATATATCTCTGTTAATTTTGATTGCTCGGAAGAAAGAGGATTAATGTTTCTTCAGAGTCAGGAGAAACACATGCATTTTCATATTTAAAATCTTGAAATCTGTCAAAAACCGTCACTTGTCGATGCACACGTGATGTATAAAATGCATGCGCAGCGGACTGCACTTAGGAATTCGTTCACATTGCATGCGCGTAGTATTTTAAAGTTCTGAAAGGCTCAGTAATTGATAGAGAATTAATACTACGAATTATTATTATTATTTAATAACGTAAGTAAAATATCTAATAATAGTAAAAATAGCAATAATAATATTAATAATAATATTAATAATATTAATAGTAATAATAGTAATAATAATATTAATTAATAATAGTAATTAAAGTATCTAATTATAGTAATTAAAACAGATAAAGCTACTACAAGTAGTACAGATAATACTACAATTTGTCATTTAATACAAATAATATTAATAATTTCTAGATAAGAGCTCCTAACATTAATTATTACTATTATAATTACTACTTACTACTATGCTATTGAAAATTTATACGACAGTCTTTAATGTGCATCATTGAATACTGATGCATCCAACGAAATTTGCTCGATTCTGTTATTTTTTTTTTGTGTGAAGGTAGATGTGGGTGAATTTCATTTATCCATGTTCCGATTGCACAGAACTCAATAATCGAGGTAATGAAAAAACGATCGCTCTGAGTACAATTGGACTGCGGGAAAATAGGAATTGATTAAATAGGACAGGAATATTTTGGATGGATCTTTCCGATGGAAGTATGTCAATTTATTTTTGCAAGCAACCTTTACAATCTAATCTTTTAATCTTACACATAAGTTTATAACAACTAGGTACTTGCTAATAAATTTTTGGTTTAAACATTTCATGTTTCCGATAGAAAAATTAGGCGTTTTTCTTCCGATATATTTTTCGATTGTTTGTTAATCCACAAAAGTGGCACATCTAGATTATTTGCATCTGATTGTTTCATTTATTGTATTATTAAAATATATTTTCAAATAATAATAATATTAATAATAATAAATAATTATATATAATAATTATATATAATAATAATAATTATAAATAATATTTTGTATTATTTTAATATAGTAATATATAATATTTTTAATATTATAATTATATTATATATATTATTTTATCTACATATGATTTAAATTAATAATAATCAAAATAGTACTTATCACTTTTGAAAACTGACATTCTTGAATTATTTTTTTTTTTTCATATTTTAACTGTAAAAGACTACAAAAGCTATTTTTCCCATTACTTTTATTTGAAATCAAACAATATATATGATATATATAATATGATGCTGACTTTTTTATCATATTTCTCTATATTTGTTATTATGTAATATTTAAAAAGTTTTTGTCTAAAAGCTAATTTTCTTAGAGATATAAATTATTTAAAATAATTTCTAATTATAATTTTTTTATTCAAAATCTTAAGAGAAAATGATTAAATATGAATGATTCAAATATACTGGATTAGATCATTATAAAATACGATGCTATATAAGAATTAAGTCGGGGTTGAAAAAATGCGCATCAAATATCAAATCAACAATGAACACATCTTTGTAAAAGAAAAAGATGGATTTCATATTATATGTTTTTCGATATAGTTTTTGCTCTGATACAGTGCCGTTTTCGCGAAGCGATGAGATATCCTTTTCTCTCATTAAAGACGAACAAATATCCTATCTACGGCGAATCTATTATATAGTTTGCGCTTAAAAAATATGATTTGTGCGGTATTTAAACATGAAAAAGAATTCTGTAACTAATTATATATTTTTCATACATTTTACATTATTTTTATTTTTTTATTTTTTTTTAAAAAAGAAAAATATTGATTTTCTTACCATCTTATGAGACAATCCGCATTAATTTTTCAATGATTTTCAATGAATTATTCGTCTAAAAAAATATAGCGATATTTTATATGAATATAAAAATGAAGCAAGAAAACAGAAAAGAGATTTATGTAAGTTTTAGAAGGCATGACTTTCTAATTGACGATTGCACACATGCAAATTACGATGCAAAATATGTTTACGTCATACAATGTATTTGTTCATTTCTTTCATTTAACAATTTTAATTTTCATGGAATGCATTTAGGAGAAATTTTCATTTACTTCTATTCGCAACTATTCGATCTTTTATTCTAAAGTTTTACAATTGAAAGTTACATTTAAAATTATAACCTTTCACATTCCCCTCGTAGAAAGTAGTGATATCATTTTATCGCAATTTTATCAATCGTCAAAAATTTATAATTTACATATGATTTTCGTTGTCTGTTTTATGAATGTAAATAACAAAAATTTTACAATAATTCTGAGGGGAAGAAAATACAAAAACTCTATTGAAGCATAGAAATTGTCGATTTCATCAGATGAATCCACATGTGACACTGACAACATCTTTAAGAGATAAAAACAAAAGATTCCTGTTTTAGAATAAATAAAGCTGCTTTCGTAATAAATTTAAAAAAATTGTATTGTTATTGTAATTAATCACGCATATTGTGAATTGTACAGATTATATCTAGCCTCTATCTACTAAAAACTAGAAATCTATTGCTAAAATAAATGTTGCCATGGAAATATTAATCATTTTTTATCGGAATTTGTAAAGAATACAATTCCATTTTTCATAACTGATAAATGAAAAGTTTTTTAAAAAATATTTTTAATTTGAGGCCTTTGCTATGACAAATAAAATTCTAAAGCTAATCCATCAAGGGATGACGAAGACATACATTAAGATAGCTAATGTTTCATGTGCATATATATTTATATTTAATGACAGTGCCAAGTGAAACGCTCAGAACCGATAAGTTAACGGAAAAGTTGGTAAATAGGTGGAATGCGCAAGTGGGTATATTCGCGTTATTAGAACTTTGGAATGCAGCCTTTTTCTTTATTTTGCTAAGAATCCTCTTTGTCTAACTGACGGTTATAATTTTGGTGATAATGCTTTATGATGACGCAATTATTATATGTATAATATTTGTTTGGTTGTTTCCCATGGCTGTATGTCATACATTGTACAAAATTATCAGAATCACAAGAGTTATCTTGTATTACGAATTTCAAATTGTTTCGAAAGTTAGCATCTATCTGGACAAATCTACGTAATTATATAATGTTATTGTAGAAAAATTAATCACCTTTCTAATATGGTTTTAAATTAAATACATAAACATATATATAACATACCACAATATTCTTAAATTATGTAAATTATATTATAGATGCAATAAATGCGAAGTATTAAAATTAAAAAAAGAAGTATGTGCGCGTTTTTTTAAATTATAGAAATTAAATTATGCTATAATTTAATTACGAGAAAAATTGGATTAATTATAGACATAAAAGAGCAACATTCAAAAGAAATAATTTTTTTTCTTAATGATTCTGATTAATATAAAATAATAAAAGACACTATTTTCTGAATCCTTTCACAAATGAATTTTTTTAATGATTTCAGCTTCAATTTACATCAGAATCATTAAGGAAAAAATCCTTTCGTTCAGATTTTAATAACTCTGATTTAAAAAAAAAATAAAACAAACAAATTATTTTTTGAATCATTTCCTTCATGACTTTTGTTATCAGCTTAACGTGACTTTTAGTGTTACTAACAATGTTTTTGCCGATCAGTTTTTTTTTCTTTCTCTTTATAATATTCTCTTTCTAAAATGTTGTATAATATTCTCTTTCTAAAATGATTTGCTATGTTAGCATTGATTGAGTTAATTAAATTAATCGGATTTTGATTGAAGTGGTCCTTAAACTTCAAATATCCTTCTCTCTCTCCTTATCTTAGTGCGAGTACATTAAAATCAGATAATTACAATACATATCAATTTACCTAACAATTAATAGGAAATGATGTGATTTGTTGAGTTTCTCTTTAGGCGTAATGATACATGTAATGCGTGATAGAAACAATCGTTAAGAGACGCATATTTCGAGGAAAGCAATAAAATATTTTCAGAACGTAATATTATTTTAAATATCTCATTTTTTATATCTAAATTTAGAATTGGTTTCTGTATTAATGAATATTATCTTCTGGGAAAAAAGATTTCTTTTAGAAAAAAATAATTTGCTGATTTTTAACACTAATTTTTCAATTGCAGATATTTTCTTAATTATGAGATACTTCTCATCTCACGCGTTTTCCTGTTATTTAAGTAGTTTAATGCCTTCTTGAATTTTTATATGAAAGGCGATGTTTTTATAACGTTAATAAAATGCGTGGTAAAACTTAAATTGCATCAATATTTATCATCGCGCAATTAAGAGATAATACTGCTTATACGCGTATTTACACGCGAAATATTATGCATTACACAAATTTGATAAATGTAATGATATGATGAAAATATCAACATAGTTGCATATTTACTCACGATTGATGCAAGCAAACTGTGTAGCCTAATAATATTTATTACGTGAATACTTTGATTTTTGCATTCATAGTCCCGATCGCATATACGGAGTGTTTTTGAATTGACGGCACAATTGAAGTAAATAAAATAGGAGTAAATTGAAGTAGATAAGATAGGAGTAAATTTTAATAAAAAAATTACAGTAAATTATAAAATTACAAATTATGATGAAATTATTATGAAATTATTATGAAATAAAATTAAAAATGTGAAATAAATATTTTTATACGTAATTGTATTTATAAGAAAATTGGAGAATAATAATTTTGTTTTTTTCGTTTGTTGTTTGTGATGTGTTTGTATTATTTAATTGATTTTTTAAACTGATTCCATAATACTGTGTTATGTGTCATCGAAGTTTGACAATGTAGCTACCTATATATGTATAATCAACATATGCATATAAAAATATAATATTTTATTAAAAAAATATAAATGACTAATATTTTTCATATATGATTTTCTCATCATATAAGATTATTTTAGTTTAGATTAATTTAGATGATTTGAGGCATTTTAAATTTATTACAAAAAATCCTTTTATCCTTTTTTTATGTTATTTATATATTTATTATTAATACAGAGTAGTGTTTTAGTATTATTCTTATTCGGAACTTTTATTTTATTTATTTATTTTTTTATTTTATTGTATTTTATTATATATTACAACAATGTAAGTACACAAGTCGCAAAAAAATTATTATCTTTATAAATTATTTCTTCCCTACCTTTACTATAAAAAGGTCAAAGTATTGAAGTGTTCAAGTCTTTAGTAATAGAAATGTCTATCATATTAGTAATAGAAATGTTTATCGAAATATCTATCATATTTCTTCATGTGTAAAGTATTTATTTTTAAAATTTATGTTTATTGTTTCAGATCCGGTTCAATCAACGTGGATACCAACAGCACCACCATTGAATTATATACCGATAGCGCAAGAACCACCAATATATTCTAATACGTTTCACGATGGGAAACGTACAGTCCTCAAACGAAAAAGTAGACAGGTCAATCCAGCTCCTGCTCATCCCTGGTTTTGTGGTACGTTTAGAGGACATACTAACTTTATCAGCGACATGAGCTTCTCCAGCAATGGCAAATACGTTGCAAGCAGTGCCGAAGGTATGTAATTTTTTTATGTGCATGTGCTCATGTTATGTTGCATGTAGAATATAGCGGCATAGTATCGCCTCTAACTTTCCTTCTTTCTTTTATTGGCGGATTTTTTCTTTTGATAGTCACACATTTTCTTCATATCGTAAATTTTTCGTGGTATAAATCCAGTATCAACGAAAAATTAAATTCACGCATATATCATAGATACTTGTATTTAAAATTAAATTTTCCTAGGAAAGAACATTAAACTAACTCTAAAGAGATCCAGTAAAAGATACATCGTTTTTTAAAATTAAAGTCAATTAATATTTCATCGTCCCATTGTCTTTTAAAAATTTATAATATATATTTCATCTATAAAAATTAATAATTGTAAATTTGGACAATAAAAAAATTTTTATGTATAATTATAAATTTTTGAGTTAGATACCATGCCGCTAAATATTATAGAAATATAATATGGATTAATGCGGAGATAATCTAACCGAATCAAAAGATCAGTTAATATACTTAAAAAGATCAATAGTTATCATTAAGTAAAAAAATATTCTGTCATAAACCGATCTCACGTTAATACATTAGAGGAAAGCAATATAATCAAGGAATGCGTTATAGTTGACCCTGACGTGGGTGTGAGTAAGTGCGTTATTAAGATAAACAAAAATTCGATTTTCTTTTTCGTTTTTCCACGTTTTTTTTTGGAATTCATATATAGATATAGATAAAAAATATACATATATAAAAAACATGTCAATCATGATGCGTAATGCATTGTCTGGTTTATAATCACGTAACATTTTTTGTTATTTTTCATGCTTTCTAAATATTCTAAAATTTTATTCTCTTATAAGCATACAAGACAAAGATTTTTAAAAATTAAAATTTATTTATTTGTATGGGTAATATAAAAGTTAATCTGCGATTATGCAAAACTAGAAAATATATAATCTAAAATATATATATATATATATATATATATATATATATATGTATGTATATTGCTCATTTTTTACTTATTTTTTTACTTTCATTATTCTGCAAATAAAAGCGATGATGCGATAGCACTGTAAAAGTATCGTGGTAAAAAATTATGTCGAATAAATTAATTGATTTGAAATAACCAATTTCAGACGATAGACATAATACGATGTGAAAAAAATATAACTAAGAGAAAAAAATTATATCCCGAACCAGATTAACATAAAAATTTTTAATTCTGTTACATTTTTACTATTACATTTTTTAAACTAAAATTAATATAAAATTTAGAAGCTTTTATATCTCCAAAGTTATGTTAAGATATTTTCGTGTTATATATATATATTAGTTATTTGTATAATTTTTGTTAGTATATCCATTGGATAAAGATAAAACCGAAATTTATCATTAGTTTTTTCAACTTATTATGGTCATTCCCATAAAAGGAGTGCTTCAAAATAATCATTCATAGCATGACTTTATTATTGCCAGATTTTTTTTTAATAAAGTATATAAATTGAAAGATAAATGACCTTTTTGAAGAATTCGTTTAGCTTGAGTAAATTGTTTTATTGTGGTTTCTTTTTCTCAAAAATTTTTCTGTATAAATAACATACATTACGCAGGACAATTTCGAGATTTGTTCAGAATCACAAAAGTGACTTTTCCGGCAGTGTCTATAGGCTAAAGATAAATAACTCCCTTAAATATTTTCAGTATGTAAATTAGGCAAGTTCTTTTTTCTTTTCTCTTTTTTTGTTTATTTTACTTTTTACATCCACATATTAAAACATTCCAATAAATAACCACTCCAGTGAATAAATAATTGATTAATAACAATGCGAGTGTTATACATAAAAAGGAAATTTATATTAAACTTGAAACAGTGGTTTAAAACATATTTATATATTTTTAAAGATATATAATATATGTTTAATATCAAACATATAAAACATAGTATATGATAACATTGTTTCATATAATGATACGATATGATCAGATTATTAGAGCATTATCGATATCGCCTTATCACATTTCGTTAATTCAACAAACGACTTTTTTTTATATGCTTTACTTTCTTTGTTTGTCTGGCTTTTTCTCCCTTATTTCGTCGTTGTTGTATGCATTGCTTTTGTGATATCGATTCATTTCGATCAATCATTTAATCATTTTTTCTTATTAATGCGGTATCTTTATATATCTTCTATATACTATATATTATTTAGAGACGCAGTTGGCTTAAAATAAATTATTGAAATATTTCTATGTCGATGAAATTTTCGGTGTATCTGAACATTATTTCCAGCATCCGTATCGCAATCTTTATCTTTTACTGACGCATGTAACTGAATCTGATCTCGAATTTATGAGGCAGTAATTAAAGTTGTCTCTAAGAGAAATAAATATGCGAATCATAATTTTTAAAAAATTTTGCAAGAAAGTCAAGTGTAAGTACAAAATACCGAAAGCAAAAATGATTGAATAAATACATTCTAAAATAAAATTATATATTTTTTAAGATTATACTGCAAGTAAAATGAAATAAAGTTGCATTTAGAGCCATATATATAAATAATTAATTCGAAATCGATTGATGAATGTATGTTTTACTGAAATATAAATAAGCGCAGCTGTCATTCGAGCAAATACTCCTAAAAAAATGACATCTTCTCGAATTTCGTGAATCATGCGAATCGTCATTCTTTTACGGAAGCCGACGAATAAGTAAATCCGCAGTCCGCAAATCCCGAGTCCCTGGTTAATGTCCCCCTTCGGAAATATCGCGGCACATCACATAAACATTTGTATAAGATAACGCGAGTGCAGATAAAAACAACGCGCTGCCATGAAATGCCGTCTTGTCGAAATTATTCGCGTATAATTAACGCCGTGAAAACAACAGTCTCCTGGATGTTCTCTCACCGTCATGATCTGCGTTAATAGCCTCCGTTGCTACGAATCGAGTAATACGAAATCAGGAACATTGCTACTGCGCGATGCGTTCAATGAGAGATGGACGAAGTCCATTGTTTCACCCTGCTGGGATATATCATGTAGGTGACTTCTTTTTCTCTATTTTCATGTGTGAAAGTAAATATATTCTTGTTTCGAGATAATTTTATTTTCTTACCGTTAAGTTGATAATTTAATAAAAGAATCAGGTATCTGGTATCAGGTATCTGGTTTCAATAAAATAAATAAAATAAGTATCTAAAATATCTTGTTTCTTTCGTTTAACATCATAATAATTTCTTGACTTTACTTTCTTCTTGCAAGCCTCTTTAAAGAAGTGAAGGTATTTAAAGATATTCGTCAAGCCCCTTTAATGAAGTCTATTTACACAAATAGATTATATACTTACAGATAATAATTCAAATACTTAGGGAAAAAAACATGCTGATTTCTTGAATGTCTTTTGTGTGAACGCTTCTCTTATAATTTTCTACAATTTTCTCACATCTATTTTATATCTTATTATTTACGTTTTCTTTCTTTAAGCCGGAAACCATTTAGAAAAAATATTCTGAATATGCTTCCTGAAATGGAAATCTTGACGAAATATGCTTTTATGAATACACTTTTAACATTCTTTTAAAATTCTTTAGAATATGCGTTGTATATAATACGTGTTGTTTTAAAATTTTTTTATTATTCTCTCTCTCTCTCTTTCTCTCTTTCATATTTATTTATCTTTTTATTTTTCCTCGTATTTCACTTCCGTTTATTTGTTGACTAAAGCGAGATGTGATCAGTTTTCGAAAAAGAATCTCGATAAGCTTTTATTGTTTTTCAAACAATCGTGTATTAAAATCTTTTATTGCATGCACTCGATGAGTGATAAGTGAAATCGTGTCAACGTTTACCGTATAAATTGATTGTACAAACCGAAAAAAATGGCCGTTTTTGGATCAAGAACACAGCCATCCGCGTGATATTATTTACCCACCTCTCCGGAATTCCCTCTTATGAAATATAATAAAATTATCCTCTGCTTCTGTGTCGCGATTTTAACGACTACAAAAGTATGATAATAATGTGCCTCGCGTAAACTTTCATAAAAAAGTTATTAGCGTATGAATGAATTTCTTCGCGATTTTTTTGTCTCTCACCTCGTCTCGAAAAAATTAAAGATATAAAGATGGCTTATCGATTTTAATTTTTCGAAATTTCAATTTCACGCGAGAATTCTTTCATATTGGACTATCAAAATATATATAAATAAACTTTTAATCCTCCTCCCATTTAGTTATATATAAGCCGAATATAAAAAATCTAGTCCTTTTCGTTAGTTAAATGATATAACAATAAAAGAAATGAAAGAAAGAAGGACGGAAAGAAGGCCGGATTTGCATGCACGTGTAGTGTGCGAACATCTTTAGCAAAAAATCCAATATACAATAAACTTACTACATTTGTTTTTCCTTGTGATATAAAGATTGGAGCTCGCAACTGGATAAGGAGAACGTGCGGGAAATTATATCTCTGTATACCAACGATTATTGGTATGATGCACTCGAAAAACATATATTGTCGTCGGATGACTTAGCGAAACGCGGATTTCCAGTGGAAAGGCCTGATCATCCAGGTTGTGCAATGATAGACTATACACCATATCCGACTGATAGTAACAATTCTACATTCTGCTTTATAAATATTAACATACTAAATGATAAGAGTAAAGAGGAAAAGAAGAAAGATCGAGACAGCACTAATTGCAATAGTAGTTCCGAACATGAGCAAGAAAATTTGACGAGGGAGAAAAAGATTAAGGATAAGATGAAAAAATCGGACGATAATGATTCAGACAGCGCGGAGAAGTGCGATTCATTGTCGCAGCAGCGGAAGAGAGAATGTGCGAGATGCCATAAGCTATTTTGCATCGATAGCACAGGGAAATGTTTGTATAAACAGCGTTGCATCTATCATTGGGGCAAATTATTCGACGGAAGGACCAACGGCCAGATGGATCGTAAATATTGGACATGCTGTAAAGGCTTGGAATTTTCGACCGGTTGCGAGACAGGAGTACACGTGTCGGTCGGCTTGTCACCCGGACTCAACGGACCTTTGAAGGGCTATGTCCGTACATTGCCTCTTAACCGTTTTAATAATAAATATAGAATCTGTGCTTTAGATTGCGAGATGTGTTACACAGAATATGGTTTCGAGCTTACTAGAGTCACTGTTATCAGTCTGGAGGGCAAAGTAATATGCAATGATTTCGTTAAACCAAATAGCCAAATATTAGATTACAACACTAGATTCAGCGGTATCACGGAAGAGCATATGAAGCAGAAAAGCACCCTGACTCTCGGACAAGTTCAAAGAAAATTGTTAACCTTGATCAGCGCCGAGACAATCGTGATCGGTCATAATTTGGCGAGTGATTTTAGAGCACTACATATAATTCATAAAAAAGTTGTCGATACGACAGTTCTTATTCCTGATCCTAGAGGATTCCCCTATACTTTAGGATTAAAGGCTTTGGCGCGGAGATTGCTCCAACGAAACATACAAGAGAATACGCATGATTCCCGCGAGGATGCCCAGGCCGCTTTGGATCTGGCGCTGCATTATATAAGTACGAATAAGTAAAAATCGCGTCGACAACTAAAAAATCTGTGTAAAGAAAAAGAATCTCCGTTAATCTTGCGTTTTAAAATCCTTAACCTTTAATTTTATCTTTCTAACATAATCATATTTGACTGTAAAGAGTTTCTGATCAATTTTTAATCATCGTTAGAAAGATAAAGTTATCGGAATATTATTGAAATTCTGCTTTTGGTATTTTTATATTCACGCATGTACAGTTCATATTGTATAAGAGTTCATTACTAATATTTTATATTTTGTACAAGACGAATCACGAATTTTATATTTATAAAAATTAATGTTTATACAATATTGTATATATTTATGTAGGTTATATATATATTATATATATATATATTAATATATATATTTGTGATCGCGGCTAGTTTTATAGGACTTTTATAACTAAATAATATTGTAAAATATATTTTTCTATCCTCGCATATATCGATGTACATATTTATATATCCCTAAGTTTTTTAATTATAGTAATAATATAAGCAAAGTTATCCGATTATTCCTTTAACAATGAGCAAAATTACATGAAACTGGTTAAAAATTTTTTTTAAACAATGAAATCATGCAAAAGTTTGCGAATCTCTATTTTAAATAAAGTTTTTATTAACAACGGAAATATATATACAAATATATATACAATTGAATTAATAAGATTTTACTCTCGTCGCTTTAGCCACTTAAAGTCCGACGATAATAGTAATCAATTATAAAGAAAAGCAACAAAAAAAAAATTAACGCGTTTATTTGCTCTTTTTCTCGGCATTTTGCTCTTAATATGTATTCTGTGATGGAGAATCACTTTATTATTCATAACGTAACGCTTATATTATAATTTTATTGATAAATTTATTGTATTTCAGTACTATGCTTAATCTTAAAATGTGATAATTTTTACAATTAGAGGAGAATAACAAGGAAAGTTCGTTGCATTCTTAAGTTTGCATAAAAAATTCTTATAAATATGTACATATTTCAATGTTTCTTATTTTTTTTGTCATATGTTGATTTTTAAAATCTTGAGATTCTGAAAAGAAAAATGTTAAAAGCGAGATGTTAATAGAAGAGTTCAAGGAGTTCACGGATGTCTCACCTTCTCTTTTAAGATTGAAAGGATTGTTATACAACACAATGAAATTGTATAAATACATGAATAATTATTTTCAATTACCTCATGCATTTTTATTGTTCGCCCTCTCCCTATTTCCAACAATATTTGCGTATCCAATATATATATATATATATATATATATATATATATATATATATATATACACTGTCCTATAAATACTGTTATACCGTATTTGTTCAAGTGCATTATGAGATAAAGTTACCCGTTCATCCAACGAAACGATATTCTTTCGCGCAAAGAAAAAGAAATAAAAGAAAAATAAATGAAAAAATATTATTATTATAGTTATTATTAAATATGTATCGGTCTATCTTTGTTTTGATAAAAGTTCAAAAGTCAAGCAAATTAATTCTTGGAAATTAAAATTGATTGTTTCATAATTTTTCGATATTAAAAATCATCAAAATATCGTATTTTGTTTAAAAATATATTTGTTTAAAAGTTTCTTTGAAATTAAGAGCTCTCTGATATATTCTATGTTGTCATGTTTTATATTCTTAAACATACGATGAAGAAAACAATGTTCATATTTTCATAAAGCATATCTGTAGAAACTTTGATCATATTTTTGTTACATTTTTTTTTTTAATTTGTTTTATCTCTTGTTTTCGCTTTGAAAAATCAAGCTTTGAACAAAGGTAGGTAGGAGGATAACGGATTCGTTTATATTATGTAGATTCTCAAACGCAAATAATTAGTTTACATCGATGCGAGCAAAAAATTCTTAACATTTGCAGCGGAGTCATTAGTTTGGGTAATTATTATTCAATTTAATCATTTTTATTTTTACTCGACGAGACAGTAATAACAACATTGTCTTTATCTTAACATTTAAACAATGACGAAACATAAAAGTAAGTTGAATAATGAATGACAGGAATTTCAACAGCATTTGTCAAAATATATATATATTGAATATTTTGCGTGTTTATGCTAAACAATATTATTATTGTCTTTCTTTTTATTCAAGATCCGTAATCGATGACGCAGTTGTAAACTGTCTTGTTTGACGGGGTTATAGTTCACAACTACGTTGCTGTTTTTTGCGTCACACATTTCACATTGGTTGTACATGCCCAAAGTAATGATTCATAGGTCGATAAACAAGGCGATAACTGATTAGATATCGTTAGCACAGCTGTAATCCGTGACTCGTCATAAATTTTCATGTCATTATTCTCCCGCCCCGTTTTTTATTTTGACAAACATTTTCCACACCTTGATCGTCACATTTCGATCTTCATACTATCAGATGCGATGAACACGAAATAATATCGTAAAAATAATGTTAATAAAGAACACTATTATTGGAATTAAAAAAAAAATCGTGTCATTCATGATAAATATTCATTAAAAATAATAAAAAAATAATGATAGAGTTTTTAAAATTTTTAAGATAAAAATAAATGATAAAATCATCTTAATGAAATAGAGCATGTCAATTAGATCGATTTGCATTTTCTTTTCTGTTTCGTATTTCTGTTACATAATCAATCCTGAAATAAAGAAACAAATTAAAATACTCTTGCAGCCTTCTCTCTCACTTTCTTCCTCCCTCCTTCTCTCTCTTTCTCTCTTTCTCTTTCTCTCTTTTTCTCTGTCTCTTCTTTCTCAGCGTATCTTTTATCTTTCTGAAATTTTGTTTTATATATACAGGGTGTATCTTAAAAAGCTCCCACTAAGCAAATAGCGTTATTTTTGATTAAAAACCGAGTCGAAAAGGCCTGAACCATTTTTTATTCTTAATTGAATTTGATCTTAAATTATCTTTCCAGCAATTCTTCCATAAAATTTGTTCTCTGTTATTATCTATTACAGATGACTTTATTACTTACTTTATTATTTTTATATTATGTATACATAAGATATTCTTTGCTCTTTTAAAAGTGACATTTTTAAAAATAGAGATAAAGCTTTTTACATCGGAACCGTTTTTGCAAAACTTCTTTTACATCAATGTTCGTCTTGATAGTTCATTATATCATAGTACATTTTAAGTCAGGGATGATATTATACGTGACAATTATAATTTTTTCTTTTCTTTATTGCAATCTGATAAAGTTCATACTTAATGATCGTATCTTTATAGTTTGCTTTACATTACTTATACTTAAATAAGTTTTCCCGATTTCTTTCAATTTTATTTGTTCAATTTTATCGTTAGTTTATATAAATAACAATTATAAGTAATTATTTAAAATTTTTTACATATATAGATACATATATACAAATATATATTGCACATGTGTACGTGAGTGTATGTGTGTGTGTGTTTGCGCATGTCACACATGACACATGTATATATGTACGTATATATGTATGTATGTATGTATATATGAATATATGTATGTACGGAAGTGAAACGATTATAGATAATCAACTGATCAACTGATTAGTTTCTTACAATAGTTTCCTAAATATTTTATTTCAGGGCAAATGTGTTAAAATGTTTACCAAATGTGTACTTCTAAACACGATTATATACGATGCACTTTTAAATGAATCAGATTAGATAAGAAATTAGATAAAATAGTTAACTAAATTATAAACGTATTTAGATAAATCTAGAATGGAAGTCGTATCACAACGAATACTTAGGCCGATTAGCGAACTTTGTGTGTGAGTGACCTACATTTTCGATGACATAATCATAATCAATATTGATATTATATAGATAATATAGCTTCATTAGAAGGATGCATTATAATAGTCTCAATCATGCTATTCAATTAATTGTTATACGGCGTCAACATTATTTATTTAAATAACTTAATGTATTTCGCGATTAACATTTGTGTGTGTGAATTGATTAAACGCTTGTATGTTTGTATAGTTTTAAATGTGTAAATTAAAAATTTTTATGCCATCTTGAACTCATCAAAAAAAGAAAAATCGTTAATTTCCGTTTTATATTGCAACCTTTCAAGGATTTTCTATCGATAAATCCGAAGAACAAACATTATAAAATTTATTAGCATTTTTTTACATCATTTTTCACGTTAAATAGGGTTTACCGCTTGAATATACTATTCTCGTTAAGAATTAATTAGCATAAATTTAAACTTGATTAAAGTTATACAATTATTAATTAATTTTGTATATCTAAGTAATTATGTATTTTAAAAAGCTTGATGAATTATGAACATTTATATTTTCATGCTAATCATTTTTGTAACAAGTTCCTGAAAATTTCATATTAGAAAAATTTAATTCGACGCGCTTTCCACGCTTATCTAGAATTGATTAACGAAAAGAAAATCTCGATCTTATATCTAGATACCGTATACCGTACTCAAAAAGCAAAAAATATTAATATATTTAAAAAACTCATTTTCACTGTTACTTAATAGATACAATTAAGTCAGGTGATATATCGATTTGTTATATTCGTCAGGTGATATATCGATTTGTTATATTCGCTAAAATAAATGGCTAAAATAAATGGCATAGCAATATGTTGATACAAATAATTTTAAATACATGTGTACTTCCTCAGAACTTTCAGCCTTTCTTTTTTTATAGATATTTTTGTAGATATAGAAAAATATAAAAAAGAATCTTGATATTTTTTAAGTATAAAAATAAAAATTTACTAAATTTTAATTAATTTTAAAATCGTATTGGTTTCAAGAATTTCTTTGATAATTTGATAATATGATAAATAAATAAGAATTGTAAAAAAATGTCAAATTGAGATTTCTATTAGTATCTCTCTATATATTTTCTTACACATGAACACATTAATACACATACTTGGCAATGTGTGAGCGTGTGTCAGCATCACATGTAAAAAAAATAATTTTAAATCGAAGTCGAAAAAGTTTTTTAAACTTTTAGCGCTAAGAAATCAGATGTTTAATAGTCATTTTGAGATTCACGTTCTTGATTAACGTTTAAATATCTCTTTCTGTCGAGAATAAACTTGACTGTGACTGAAGCTACTTCGCTGATTTAGTGAAGATATTTTACTCACGAGAACGTAAATAGATAACTAAGTCTCACGTATATTTTGTAAGCAAGATCAACGCATCTCGTAGCTATTTCTAGAGTGTTCATACAAATATCGAAATACTTCTGTATTTTACAAACACGAATAATGTATATCTTCTATTAATCTT